TGTTGCTCTAAGTGGGTCGCTCTGTCAGCTAAAGACACTTTTTAGAGTCTCTACACTCCAGTTAACGATTAATCAATTACTAAATTAGTTGATGATTATTTCAATAATCGATTAATCCTGATTAATCCGATTAATTGTTTCAGCCCTAAAATTCTTTAACAAACGCACTAATATCGAAGTACGATTTTAAGCCTTACCTTGACTCAGTAATGTTGAACGCAGCATTCCACTTTTTGACCAGATCTTGATCTGTCCATCTTCACCCGCTAAGAAATTCCAAGAAAAGAGTGGATTGTGGGAAAGCTGATATGCTTCAGTTACATTTTTTATTGAAGACAAGAGCTTATTTTCATAGTCAAAATGTGTCACCGGGCCTTTCACCTGTGAGTAGAGCAGTCCCATCGTAGTTCCACCTTCCAGCCAAAACAGCCCCTTTATGCGCTTCCACACTCTTCTCTATGCGCCCCATCTTGGAGACCAGGTGAAACTTTCCTATTAAAGAGATGACTCAATAAAATCCAAAAACACAACATGTGCAGTAGGTACACAAGACATATACCCATTGTTGTTATTTTATCTTTTGTATCTAAATCTCTAGTTGCTTCATAAAGCAATCGTATCAAATTGTATCATAAAACCAGATGCACGTTGCAGAGTTACAACATAAAGCAAATAAGTATGAACAAATAGTCTCTGCTAGTGGAATTAAGGCAACTATTTTGTTCCCCAGACATGAAAGGGTCATCAGGCATGGAGACAGCTATTGAAGAAGACGCTTACCAAACATATAGTTTGTGGTGGTGTGTCTTAAAAATTCTGAGTGTAATATATAATTTCTGGTAGCCTTTAATTGCAAATCATGCTGTAGCTCACTCTTGTTTCTACATTTGGAAACCCTTACAGAAGTGAGTATTACTGATGCTGCAGGTAGTCACTGGGAGGCTTTTTCTGAGAGCATTTAGGAACTAAAAAGCAGACTTTAAACTGAACAAGTGAGGCGTATTTTGGAAACAGGTCAGGACGTGTGAATTGCCTGTACAAGTTCTTTACATACCATTAAGTTAAGAATTTATCATACAAATATACATCCACACATAAACCATAAATGGTATCATAACAAATGAATATTAAGAATCTATTTATACGTGCAGCTAAGAAAAAAATAAATGGGACAAACATATTTCTATATACAGTTTTATACACAATGTCTTTTCACACCGCAATCTAAAACCTCAAACATTAATTATATTAGGATTACATCTAAAAGGCCAACAACAAGAACTTAATTACTGTGAAGTGAAAAGGATATGTTGTTAAATTTTGAACTATTTTTTAATGAATCTAAATCCTTTTTTCAGTAATTCACTCTGCTATTAAAAAAGTCCAGTGCAATCAAAAGCCTTCAACAGTCAGGTAAACAGGACATAAGAGTCCATCTATGCGTGTGATATAATCTCTGTATAGATTCAGCTGTTCTATGGAGGTCTAAAAAGTTTTTAAGGAACTTTACAGATCTAAATCCATCTAAGGCTGTCAGAGGCTTCTCCAGATCCTTCAGGAGATCCTCCTATCCTACAGCTATTAACATCTACAATGATGTGTTAAGGAAACAACTTGAAAAGTAAGAAAAACATCTAACATCCCTTTTGCATGAATCAAGTATGCTTGAACTAAACCAAGCATGTAGGACAATGTTACAAGTCTTTAAGAAAAAAACAAAAAACAAAATTTGGATACATTTCACAGATCTCTCTCTGAAATTCACCTCTCCACCTCAGCCAGCAAATAAACAGTCCCACAATGTTTATCACTGTCTTTCTTTTTTTTTTTTAGACGTAGTTGTCATAATGTTTACTATAGGCCTATAAAAATTATCTGTTTTGGTTTGAGATGCTTCACAGGCTCGTTAAGTGGGGCTTTACCTTATAGCTGCGCCTGTGGTTTTTTATTTATTTATTTTTAATAACTTTTCATAATCTGTCCAAATCAAATATGGGAAATTGTTTTGATTTGTGTGTGGCACAGAAACGGGAGTGGAAAAAAATCTGGACAGATCTGCTCATCCTGCTTATTAGGAGCCTCTCTATAAGCAGTCAGTGTGACAAGAAAAAAAATCTGAACAGAGATTAAAACGCTGTACGCAAGTGATTTATTCAGGCCTTGAGGCAAAAATGTACTCAATATAAAAAAAACTAAACTAAACTAAATGAACAAGACCTAAAGCAGATTGGTTCAGATAAAACGTTATTTTTATGTTTAAATGCCCCCTTTAAATGGGACAAAATTCAAACACCTTTAGAGGATGTGAACACTTCAGCAGGGTGCACAACATCTCTCACAAAATAATGCTGACTATGAGATACTTTATCAATGCAAGATGAATCTGTTTACCCTTTTCCCATTTTGAGTAGTATCCTTAGTAGCTAATATTTGCACGACTGCAAATGAAAAGCAAGAAAGTTTTAAAAAAGTGAATGGTAACAGGGTTTTCACTTGTCTCTGGTCAGCCAGAGAAAATTGCTACTTCAGTTTGTGGGTGTGTTTATGCAACCGTACACTGTCATTAGAAATGTGACCACACATTGCCTGCCACAAAAGTGCATCTATACCTCTTTGTGTTTGTACTGTATGTAATAGAGAAACCCTAAGCTTATGATGATGGTGATAGATGTAACTTAGTGTAAGAAGATTTAGTGATAGTGATACAAAACAAAGGGGAAAGGTGACTTTATTTGCATAAAAGAAAAAAAACTTCTAAATTGTACCATGCAGTTTAGAATATAAGAGAAAAGTGGGCTTAATTAGACCTAGTTCTGATTTAAAACATTTAAGTCACAATTACATTTCAAATATCTTTAAAACTTGTACTAATCTTTGTTCTTTACAAACAAATAAATTGAGCCCATATGAGAAATATCAAAAACTATCAATACTTACCATCAGTACTGGTAAGGACATAAATCTCAGCTTGTGTCTGCTTCTTGGCACCGACAGTTTTTGGGAACCAGTGCAGGTCGACGGGATAAATGTCGTCTGGCAGTCGGACCACAAGGCTGGTTTCATTGGTGAGTAGGTTCCACTTGAGGATCTGATGATCTTCACTGCAAGAGTACAGCTCGTCTGCTGTTGTCCAACCAATGCAACTCACAAGCTCCTTATGTAAGATACTGTTAAAGAAAACTAACCCATATAAGAGAGTAGAATTTTAACAGGTTGAATGAGTTGCTCAAAGAAAAAAACTATCTTTTTAATCTGATCTGGATTCAACTTCCAGAAAACTGTAAAAGCACGAAAATCCTTAATCAAAATTAAAAACATATTGTTAAGAGCCGCTTTTGAAGTCTTCAAAACAACTTTCTTTTTTTTATAAATCAATTATCAATCTTTTTTTATATAATCATTTGAATTAATCATCTTTATTCTCTTGTATTATTTTTGTTCCCTTTATACCACTGTACTTTTCTTTCTATTTTTTATGTACAGCTCTTTGTACTGTCGTGCTACTAAAATGCGTTATATGAATAAACATGCCATGCGTTGCTTTTAAATCATTTCACAGAAAGGATCATGTGACTTCATATAGGAAGGCTTCGTCTTCAAACCTCCCTTCTTACTGCCAGCACTATTCAGTCAGCACTTAACACTTTCCAAGGAACGCTGCAAGTGCTATGGTTTGAATCCCACCGATTGCTACTCAGGGTTCCTTGGCAAGACCTTAGCACTAAAATGTTCCTCTGGGTGCTGCACAGTGGCAGCCCACTGTTCCCTAAGCAATGGGTTAAATGCAGACGACAGATTTCATTGGAATCTACAAAGTTGCAAAGAAAAAAAGAAAAATCATTCCACAACAATAACTGCTATTTACTATATTGTGCTGCTCTAAAGGATAGATAGAAAAATACATGTTTACAAAGTGACATCTTTTCTCTCGCTTTATCTTACAGAATGTAATTGCATATAAATACAGGGGTGGTTTTTTTTTTTGTAAATAGAGCCAGTTAATAAATTACTTCAGCAGGTTTTGGTCATTTAAATTTGAGATTTTTTTAGGAGCTATTTAATACCATTAAGAGTTCAAATTATGACCTATTTGAATAATGTGACCTAAAGAAGCTAAAATATTAACCTATTTCTTTAATATCTTATATTTTATTACTTTTATGAACCCTTTTCAGGTAACTTTTAGCCACTTTTTCATGACCCAGAAGATGGTTGTAAATACCACACAAGAATGTTTTGATATTATTTACTTAAAGAAACTGTAATGGGATAATACACGATTTTGCAAGGTACAAAAACAGTTAAATGTATATCACTCAAATACTTTGAGTGATATGCATTGATATTGATAATAATGATATTGGTAATTTTTTACTTTATTTGTTAATAAATATTTTTTTGTTTAAATTGAGGCTTGTGAAACATTCACTATCATTGTGTCATTTTTATTATGTAAATGGAGGAAGAAAAAGCCATATAAGCTTTAAGAATTGGCAAAAAAAAATATAGGCAGCACAAACTGGGAATTGGTTTGGCTAATGTCAAAACAATTATTATCAGCAATGGCCTTTAAAAAAACAGTATCAGTCCAACTCTACTCCTTAGGTCTTTGACAGAGTGTTATACTGCCTGAATTTATCAGCCAGAACTGCAGCAGGTGAAGCAAATAAGCAATCTGAAACCCTTTCTTAAGCAATTACTAATTAACTAAAATTCAGTAAAAGAGGCAATGAATCAACTGATGTAAAACTTACATACCTGACAAGCTCTAATAATGATCTAGTAGTAATTCATTTTAAGACTTTAAGATGATAGAAACCTTTAAAGTTGAATATAAACATCTTAATGAACATAATTTTTCTTCGTTCTACAATTGGAGTCAGAGAGACTAAATCCTAAATTTATACATCCATGCTTTTTGTTAAAAATTACGATTTATTTGTGACTTTTACTATAAACTGAATATTTATACTGTCTTGGTATTTTTTTATTAAACAAACATCCGCTGAAGTAATATGTATTAATATGTAATGAAATGGGATCACATTATGTTTATGTCTAATGTGGACATTTCACCATCGAAAACAAAACTTAGCGTAGGTAAAGAGATTTGCGTCACAGAAAGGATATGTTTTGGTTCCTTTAGCAGCGATGTTTTCAGCCTCATTGCGGAGCTGATCCTTGCTGTGACCTAAACGAACAAAAAAAAAAACAATAATAAACGTATTGACAAACAAATGTAAGCTACATGCAGCTAATAACTCCATACAGCTTATAAAATAATTAATCAAATTAATACATTATGCCACTCACCTACCCGTCAATCCGGTAATACAATTGTTTGTATGCGCTGATAGCCCTTCACAATACAGGAGACATGCAGTTGCTAAGGTAGGTGTTACCGTTGCTAACGTGTTCACATCCGTTGCTAACGTGCTGGTAGCTGTATATTTAGCGACGTACAGCCATCACTGTAGCGTTACAGAGTTCACTGCAAGACAACAAACGCCGCCTTCGTGTCATTTGTTATAATACGAAATATCGATGAGTTGCAAAAATAATAAAAATCTCCTCCTTACTCATAACAATAATATTTGCCTAAAGGGATAACTTTGGGTAGCCATTTAATCAAGAGGGAAAACTGTTTTGAGAGGAAGTGTGTTATCGCGAGATTTGTAACTCGCGCCTCCTACAGCTGTGACGTCCCCGCACATCTTTTCAAATACAAACAATAATTTGTTTTTAGTAAATTTGCCTTAAAAAAACGACTGGTAAAGCCAAATGTGTCACTTAGATTAGTCGCTTGTGCGATTACGTTTATAATTCTTTCTGAAACATAAAACTGTTCCGAGAGGCGGGACTCTACTGTAACCAAGCAACCGTTTGAATTTTCCAGAATATAACGCACAGATTTTTTTTTATTTTTATCTTACACCAGTTTTGATAAAAGGTTTACAGTTTGTAGAAAACATTTGCTCGGTTTTGTCCATTCTTAGACTGCTCGGTCGATGAATATTATGGGTGTGTATAGAGAGGCGGGGAGTTGGCACCGTCCCCTTTTTTGAATTTGTTTTTTTCCCCCTGCCCTTTGAACGATCCATGGTGCCTTGCGTCCTGTAACGAATTTGATTCGACGACGCAGTTTAGGCGCCATTTACAAGATACAGTTTTCAAATGGAAAAGCGGCTCGCAATGATACGGAGCTGAATTTGGTGGATTATATTTGTCGAATTTTTTGGATTTTCTGACGCTTTGTTGGATTTGCAGTCGGGACAGAAAAGAGGACTTCTGAAGGACCGCGTGTATAACTTAGAAGGTACTCGAGGATACTTTATTCGAAGGGAGTGGGATCTGGGTGCCGTCTATTTGTTGGAATCACAGCGTTCTTCGATGTGTTAACATCCGTTTGCAACGTTTTAACCCGTGTCTTTGCTTTAGCAACCCAAGAAGCGAGGCTAATACTCCATTGCGTGCAATATTTTACATATATCCAAGTAATGGTTATTTTTAACAGCATTAATTTTAGTGAAAATGATATGTCGAGCTGTAAACATATTTTTTACTCGTACATTAAGCTGTCCTCTGGCAGTAACTAGCGTTATTGTGTTTTATATCTTATTCAGGCTGTCTTTTAATTTTTTTTTATTACAGACAAACTCTGTATCTCGTTCTATTTGAACATACTCCGATACTCTGACATCTATTAGCTTTAGCCGCTACCTTTACCATTAGCACTGCTGAGTAGCGTGACTAACCTAGTGCTTAAATGATAAGACTTTACGAAAAAAAAATAATAAAACGTGCGAAACAAAGTGATTAGAATTCAAAACGTGCTGTTGAAATAGTAATCAATTTGTAGCGCTTAGGTTTTGATTAAATCCGTGTATTGATAAGTGTAGTTATTCCGTATTTTACCCCCCACCTTTAGCAAGAGGGGGGAGAAGAAAAAAAACTTGTTGGAACTGAAAGTTAATATTCCTGTCAGTTTGAGAGACCCGTTTAGCTGCGCAGTAGTGACCACGCAACATAGGCGTAACTAGGCTCTAAAGGGAACGATTTCACCTTATTTGCATAGAAAAAAAACCTATAGTGTTCAGAAAGAGCCATATTAACGGTTTTATCTTCAATTTTATTCCCACCGTGGATGCAGACACGCCAAGCTATAGCATGAAGCTTTTTACGACTTTACTTCAAATTTGCGAATTTAAAAACGTGTTTTCTGTACGTTTTGGACTTATTTGCGTCATCGAAAGATGCTTTTACTTTATTAGTTTACTTACGGTGTTTGCATGTGGATAAATAGAAGAATTTGCAAGTAATGGCTGTGGAAATGATAAAAGACTGACAGAATAGCTCCCTGTGATTGACTATAATGGGAATTTGAAGATTGGCACGCATACAAAAAACAGAAAAAAACAAACGCTAATGGATATTCCGTTTTTTTTTCCCTTCAACTACCCTTTCAGATTTCATATCATGCCATCTAAAACAGCAAAAAGTTCAACTGCCTCTAAAAGGGAGCCAAAAGGGAAAGGGCTGCAGCCTCGGGATGACTCTGAGGGAGAGCTGGATGTACCCCCCCAAGAAAGCCAGTCTAATGGCCAAGAAGAGGCACCCCCGACAACTGGCAAGTAACAAAGGCTGTTTTGGTGTCTCTGAATCCAAATAAGTTTCTGTCAATTGCTTTGCGTGTGTTGCTGTACTGGTGGAGGCCAATTGGCTCAGCTGTAGTGTTTTTTTTTTTTCTTTCTTCTTCTTCTTCTTGCGAACACGTAGTTAGAATGGGCTGATAGTTGTTTTTTTTTTTTGTCTTAAGTGCTCGTCATAATATACTTTTTGGATTTGTTCACGACCATGGTGCTTCTTGTCCGGATGTCCCCTGCAAACGAGGTAGTTTATTTCAAAAGATGCAGCGTTTATTTATTTTTTTTTTTATTTACCTTTTTTTTGGTAGTATATTATAACCGATTTTAAATGCATTTAATCGAAATCGGCTCGTTTTTGGTTTGCTTTAGAAATGCAGTCGTTAAGATGGATTGAAATGCTTAACTGTGTAACTTGTGTTTGAGTCATAAGCATTAACTCCTTAGCTTGTTTATGCTTATGTGAGCACAATAGATTTTGGACAGGTCTTTGGCTTTGCTCTGAAGGCAGCATGATCGTTTTAATATTGTCACCCCAAAATGAGATCCCTTTCCTTGTAGTGAGGCGATTGCAGCTAAAGATGACTCAAAGTGTAATGTTTTTTTATTTTTTATCCGAGCATTGACTTTGAGTTATTCATCTTCGACGAGGTGACTGTGGCGCATCTACTCTGGTATCAACGCTTGTCGTGGAGCGTTTGTGTACTAATGTAGGTTCATGCTATTTCTCTTTTTTTGGGGCTGGCTCTTGATTTGAACAAAGGGGAAAATAAGCCATGTCAACTTTCTCCCCATAGGCGTTGTTTTTGACCGAGACGTGCTGCGTGTGTTTGTTTGTTTTTATTTTGTGTATGTGCGCGCTCCTCACCCCTCCCCCACACGCTCTACCACCACCTGAAACGACTCGCTCCAGAAGAATAAAACAAAAAAAGTTGTACTTTTTTTGTTGTGCCACAGATCCGTCTCAGGGGGAAGCTACTGAGGCGGCAGATAACCGAAGTTTGGAGGAGATCCTCGCCAGCATCCCTCCACCACCGCCCCCAGCAATGACCAATGAACCAGGCGCTCCGCGCCTAATGATAACACATTTAGTTAATCGCAATTTTAAGTCATACGCAGGGGAGCAGATTTTGGGGCCTTTTCATAAGGTATGAACAGACATGGGTATAAGTTATTTATTTCTTTTCCTTTTTTATGTCTGGCTGGACCAATGCTTTGAATCTGTCAGCTAAGATCTGTTTTGTGTGTCAATCTCAATGTTAGTTTTATTTTGTGAATTTTTTTGGCTGCTCTCTACTGTTGAAGCCATGCAAATATTGAAGTAACAATCTGCTTTTACCTACATTTTTTTTCAAGATATTTTTTAGATAAAAAAAAAAAGTGAAAGGGTCACAATCCTCCATTTTGATTTTGTTAGTGCATCTCTCTAAAAGTAGTGATTTATTGATGTTCCTGCAGTTTCATTAAATTATGACTTTCTTAAAACATTAGCTTTTTCTTTGTATTTTGCTCACAAAGTTACTACCGAAGTTGCTGCAATGAAACCTTAATTACACTTACATGAAAAACTTGAACTATTGCATATTTGCTGAGATAAAATGCGGCCACATATTTTTAAGAAATGTAATCTTTACAATTTTTTGTTGTAGATGTTGTCTACATTCATATAATTGATTGTTTTTATTTTTATCTCCTTTCTTACCTGTCCCCCAGCGCTTTTCCTGCATCATTGGTCCCAATGGAAGTGGAAAGTCCAATGTGATAGATTCAATGCTCTTTGTGTTTGGATACAGAGCTCAAAAGATCAGATCGAAAAAGCTCTCAGTTCTGATTCACAGTTCTGATAAGCACAAGGATGTGCAAAGCTGTACTGTTGAAGTGCATTTTCAAAAGATTATTGATAAGGTATATATATTCATATTTCTTTCACTCAGAGGCATTTCTTTCACTTATTTCAAAAGATTCAATATTCAGCCTTACTCAAATAATTCAGTCAGATATATTTTTTGGAGGACACAAATGATTGTCAGATTTTTAAAACATTATTTCTTGGTTGTCATAATATTGCTACTCATTTATAACATTAGTGACTAAACACAAACTCAAATCGGTCTTGAAAGTTGCAGTTTACACCCCCACATGCGATATTTGATGCACATTGCACTAGAGTCTCTCCATGTATTTCTAATTGCCCTTTTTAATTTATTTTTATAATCAAGCATTTGTTTGTGTGCCCCAAATTATTTTTTCTGCAGTGTAAATGTGTTTATGACATGGGATGCTTCTATTTGGATTTAGTTTCCTATTAAATAAACTATACTATGTTTTTTTTTTCTAATTACATTTTTTTATGTATTTAATCTGCCTGAGGAGGTGTAAATGATTATGTCCCTTACTGATTTTTTTTCTCAGCCAGTGCTGGAAAAAAATTAAATCAAGTTGTTAAACTCATGGATTATTTTTTCCAAGTTTATCAGCCCAAATAAATGTTGTTTCTGGGACAAAAATTAATTTTTTTGAATGTGGTGTACACAGCCTGAAATACTAGACTAATTTCCAAAGTCAGAAATTGGGCACATTTCTAACCCAGTTTATTTTATTTTTTTGTTATTGTATTTGTAATATCACTACTTCCTCAAACATGTACCTCTAGTTTGCGAATTGTTGTAAAATTCAATACTTTGTACTACTATTATTTATTTAATACTAGACATTTATAGACATGATTATGGCTTGTCTATAAACCTCTAGTACTTTTAGATATCTAAATCTTAACTCTGTTTAATGTTTATTATCTTTTTAATAGCTAGTAATTTTGCTAGTACAGTGTTTAGTTTTTTTTAAAATAATACTGGGTGTTTAGAGCTGTTTGAGTCTTTCCTAAACTCTTGTGTTCTGCTGCTCTGTGTCCTCTGCCCCTCCTCCTCTGGGTCAGGAGGGAGATGACTACGAAGTCATACCCAACAGCAAGTTCTATGTTTCCAGAACTGCCAACAAAGACAATTCCTCTTACTACAATATCAATGGCAAAAGGGCTACATTCAAAGAAGTTGGCACTTTGCTCAGGAGCCATGGTATTGACCTGGACCACAACAGATTTTTGATCTTACAGGTAATTGTATACATATATATATATATATATTTTTTTTTTTGTATAAATTTATGTATATATTTTTTATCCTTTATGTGGCCATCCCATTCTTTGGAAGAATTACTCCTCCTCATATTTTTTCCTTAGTTTCTCCTTGTCAAAGTTTTATCTATGCCTTCATGCTCTGCCTGTGTTTGGGCAAATAACCTGTTGCACTGGAGTTGGAAAGGAGAGGAGTTGTGCTTTGCCAGCCCTTAGACTGCTATAGCAGCGCATCATGGTTTGAAACAATGTGAAAAGGGTGCGAACCATTATTTGCTGCTTTAGAGTTTTAAGGAAAAGATACGATTTGACCAGCTGAAGAACATGCATGTCGGTGTTTGATGGATTTTTATTATGGGGGGAAATCTAGATGACCTGATGGTGGGGACAGGTGGGACCTTCTCTTTTCTTCTTTTCTTATGTACCTGCTACACTTTAGCAGCACGTAAATATTGGTGTGTGAAAAAATAACCTAACCCCAATATTAGCAGTGCTGCTTCAGGGTGGCTGGATAAAACAGCCTCCATTACCATCGCTTCAATATTGCTCAAATCTTTTTTTTATTTTTTTATTTTATTTTACCCACTATCAATCTAAAGGTGTCTGTAATCTATGAAAAAAAAATTATTCTTAGCTAAGTGTTTATCTATTTTTTCACCATGTGTTATTGTGTACTCTGTCTGAACCAGTTCCCTTGTTACACTCCTACCCCTGCAGAGTGTATTGCATCTGACCTACAAGCTACTACTGATTAACTGAAAGCATGTGTTTAACATTTAGCTACATGTTTAACATTTAATTTATCTTGATTATTTAACGTGACATTTTTTGGTATATTTTTTTATTTATTTTCTTTTTATATGTTCATGTTCAGTTTCATTCATTTTGGATGTTTCTCTGTGACATGGCTGCATGACTAAGGGTAAAGGTTGAGCTTGGTCTTCAAGGTCACATCACTTTTCCAGGCCTCTAACAAATAAGGGAAGCTGCATTGTTTGTGGATTTCTTAGAGAAGAGCATATATTTGTTAAAACAGATTTTTATTTTTTATTTATTTATTTATTCCTTCACTGCCTGGGGGTGGGCAGCATTAAAAAAAATCTAAACAAAAACTGGTTTAAGGTTTTATAATAAAAAAAAGAAATATGTTTTTTGGGGCTTGCAAAGAAAATAAAGATTATTTCAAAGGGTATTTTTAAATGAATTAAACAATACACATGTCCACTTAATTCCACTTGGAGAACAGGTAGCCTGTGTAGTTTTTAGACACATAAGCTGCTTTGTTTTTAAAAAAAAGCTCATAGATTTTGGGATGCTCCAGTTAATTAATCCAGACCTGTCCAATCTATTTTCCTACCATTATCATCCTTGGCCCTGTCCTGGGATGGCTGGTTAAATACAGGGATATCTGGGTGCTTTTTTTCCTATTTATAAAATGCACCAAAAAAGGCTCTCTCAACCTTTTGAAGTTGATGTAATTATCAAGAAATTTTCAGATGGGTTCATGCTTTGATATATAAACTGATATAATGTTGCAGTTTCCAATTTTTGTTGATTTCAAAAATATTTGCTGTATGGCCTTTTTCATTTGGTGTAGCCAGAAATAAAATAAACCAGCCATATTTTTACAGAAACAGCAAAATTTGCATTTCAACTTTTGTTATTGGTTACTTTAGCTTCTTATATTTTTTTATTATTATTATTATTATTTATTATTTATTTTTTTTTTTGCCAAAATTATTTTTCATAATTTCTTATTTTTTACTGGGAAACCAGACCATCCAGGTTCTCGGTGTAATAATAGTTAAACATTTGTGTAATGTTAAGAATTTCAGTGGGAGAGGATTGAGTGTGTTATTTATATTTTTAATTAATTTTTTTCTTATTTTATATAAAAATTCTGAATTGGTGTGTGTGCCTTTTTCCAATCTGCTCTGTGGACTATGATTAGGGTGAGGTGGAGCAGATTGCCATGATGAAGCCAAAAGGTCAAACGGAGCATGATGAGGGGATGCTTGAGTACTTGGAGGATATTATCGGTTCGTGTCGTCTCAAAGAACCAATCCAAACACTGTCTCGCAGAATTGAGCTTCTCAATGAGCAAAGGGGAGAAAAGGTACCAACACTTTTATTTAATTATTTATTTTTTGCATTTGCAAATACTTATTGAATGTGCAGTTGGACAAGATGTAGACATAAGAAGAAAGAGTTATGAAAACAAATTCAGTCTAAGTTCACTAGGTAACCCTCTCATTCTCTTTGACATCATGATATACAGTGTCATTTGTAGGTGGGTTGCACCCACACTTATATCACACTAATTACTTGAATTTCATGAAGATCATGTTTCCTGTTAAGCTGGTTTAGGTTCTTCCAGTTTTATTAGACTGCACAATTTTTTATTTTATTTTTTTTATCATATCTCTAGATAATAAAACTACTTTTTTCTGTCCTAGCTCAATCGTGTAAAACTGGTAGAAAAGGAGAAAAATGCTTTAGAAGGGGAAAAGAATAAAGCGGTAGAGTTCCTGACTTTGGAAAATGAGATCTTCCGAAACAAGAGTCATCTCAACCAGTACTACGTGTGAGTACACCAGGACCATATCTTTGCTCGGGGCAGTAAAAAAAGAAACACTTTAATTGGACATTACATAGAAACCCTACTTGGTGTTTATCTCATGCTTTCCTCAGTTCCTATTCAAGATAATATATTTTTCCTAAATTTCTCTATTTTAATTTTTTTTTATTCTAATGTTTCTGTTTGCCTTTAGTCATGATCTGCAAAAACGTGTGGTGGATAAAGAGCAGGAAAAGCAGAAGATCTTGGAGGAAACAAAGGAGCTGACAGAAAAAAATGCTAAGCTATCAGAGGAGATTGAAAAAATGAATCAAGAGCTGAAAAATGTGGAGATGTAAGAATGCTGCTGTATTTGTCCTTTAACTTATTTCCTCCCTGTTACTGATGTAACAAGCTTTGTGAGCAGGTTCTTGTTCCTTTGGACATTAAGAGGAATGCAGAAGCAATAGTTCCTATTTGTTTTTGTTCCAGAAATTAACGATATATGAAGTAATTTGTTCCAAAAAATGTCTATAAACAGGAAATATTTTGATACTCTTCAGATAACTTTTTTATAGTGTTAAAGACTTTAATTATAGAAACTGTCCTAATCTTTCTCTCAATTTTTCTATTATTTTTATTTATTACTTTTCCTAGTCTTTCAAAGATGATTTTCTCTAAAACTGATACAGATTGTACTTTTTATAACTGCTTTTCCTCCACCAGGAAACAAAGTAAGATCAACAAGTACATTGAGACCCAGAAGGAAAAGTTCACCCAGCTGGACTTGCAGGATGTTGAAGTGCGTGAGAAGATTAAACACTCCAAGAGCAAGAACAAGGCCCTGCAGAAGCAGCTGGAAAAAGACCAGAAAAAGGTGTGTTGGCCTTTAAGTTGCAGTCCACTGTTGCATGCAGTTCGATGACTTTATCTTACTTTGTATTAGTGTTTGCTCCTCTGAAACAGATAAGCTGTGTCACTTTGACAGTATCACTGCAGCAGCAGAGTCCAGAGAGACCCAGGCACTGGTTCTGACTGAGGCGTATCATTTTAGCCTTTTGTTTTCTACATTTTCAGCACTCATTTAATCAAGAGAAATGCTGCGGCAACCAGGGTTTGTATGTATATTTTGGCCTGTGAAGATACAAAAATAATTTTAAAAGAATGTTAAAAATAGAGCACAAGCTTCTTAGTGTTTGGTATTTTATGCAGTTCACGTGTCACTAAAATAGTTTGTGTGGAGGAAGGTTGTTTGAACACAGGTGCTAGTCATTTCTTAACCTTAATCTGTAAACTGACTCTTTTTGGGGAAATGAATAAATAAATTAAGTATGATATTTTCTAGGCTGAATCAGTTGTTCTTCAGGCATAGAAAATATTTTTAAACTATTCTATATATAATATATATTTTATAGAGTTTTCTTAACATAAACTGGCTTCTGAACAAATGAAAAATAAATAACATTAACTAAAAGGCCTGTCTGATATTGTTTAGCAAAAATCTGAATGCATTTGTCTGTTTAACTCTTGAGTTTTACAATCTGAAAAATTTGCTATAAATGTTTTTCTTGTCTTATTTAAAATATTATGACTATTCTTGCTGACTTATATTGGGCTCAGGGAATGTTTCACCCTGTGACCTAAAGTCAGAGTGTAATAAATAATGTACCCATTTTTGAGAATTTTTTTCATTTAATGATGTTTGAGGAAGAGTTGTTTTTATATAAAACTATGGTTTATATACGTATATTTTTGAGTGAATTCACATAAAAACTAATGTGAAACCAAATGAGCTTTGAAGACAGAAGCGTTTATCAGACTCCAATAAGCCACTAGGGGGCTGTGAAGTTGCACAGAGAGGGGTGTGCGCTTTAGTAAACTTGTTTTATCCTGATGGGTTAGATGGGATTTCTTTATTTTTGTGACATAATTGATTTATTTTTTTAGGCTTTATTATCAGGATGTATGGATTTTTTTTTTCTCTTTTTCCTTACTGCTCTGAAAGCATGAGCTCTGGAAATCTGTTGGTCAGAGGGGGAGCTGAGCTGGGCAGAGGCAGGCTGAGCTCTGGGGAGCAGTGTTCTGCTATGTGGTACTCAACTATGGCCTGGCTTGTGTAACACTTCCAGCAGCCACATTCACATTTCACCCACAGTTAACCCTACAAAACATAGACTACATATGCAGTTGCAAATCCTTTCTTTGTTTCAGTTATGCTGAAATGCTGATGCTTGTGTCAGTCTTAACCAGGGTGCGTTTAGTCCCTTTTTGCTTATACATGATTACATGTGTGCTTTTGCACATGTTTTTTGGTGTGTGTAACTCATCAGCTCCAATCCTTTAGTTGCACCATATTATTTACACAGAACATCATCACCATTGCTTTGCTGCAAACTGTTAAACACAAAGGTGATCATGTTTACTTAGAAATCAGCGAGAAAAGCTGATTTACAGCAGATGCTGTGCAGGTGATAAGCTTAAATTGATGCTAATATTATATCATAAGGTGATAAGGTCATTAAAGATAAAAACGGAAAGCAAACAAAAACAGAATTTAATAAAATTTTCCCTTTTTTGTAATGCTCACAGATCTACCAAAATACATACTGATTTGTTTTGATTGTTCTGGCTTTTTTTTTTGTACAAATATTCTAATAATCTTTGTTTGAAGCCGTTTATTTCTGTTTAAACCCTTTTCTTAATTTTTCAGTTTATGGCCACTGACTATAAGTCTGTCTTGTTTGAACAGGTTTTATGCTTCCTCTTTACAGACTGCACTTTTTGTATGACTTAATTAATTAATTTCTTGTTTTGCCTCGGGCATTATCTACAGTTTAGTGAACAGAAACCAATGCGGCATAGTTGCAAGATCTAAATGAGTCAGTCTTGACTTTTGGACCTCTTCAGCAATGATAGAGATTAGTGGTTTGCTGTTTAAAGTCATGTCTTTAAAGTCAAAATAAGCTTGGGGGATTTTTCTTTTAATTATATAAGAAAACAATGATTAGAAAACTGGATAAAATATGGATGATGCATGTATCTTATATATTTAAATGTTCTGTGTGTCATTTCCCCTACTCTATAGTTATTTATGTATTTTCCCAAAGGGTTATTTTCTTACTTCCTCAAGTTTGTATCAGCTGTCTCATTTGTTCATGCTCTTGCACTTGAAAGAACAACATATTTTGTCAAAAGATAAAGTTAGTTATCTGATGATTGTGAGGTATTTAACTGCTTTGGTTTTAAGCTGAGTTTAATAGGATTTAAAATGCTTGGTTCCTTTCTCCCATTCAGTTTAATCATTTAGTATGTCTGTGTTTGCAGCTAGTTGATTCATTTTAGGCTGTAACTACAGTGTTTTTTTTGTTTTTTTGTTTTTTTTTTTATGATTTACTATAACGGGAAAGGGGTGGGGAATGTAGCAGGAAGGGTACTGGTTTTTATTATTGCATCTCTTACTTCCTGGGCTGAATTTTTAGCTGTGTTCTTCCAAACTCAATTTTTTTGCTTCATATCAGCAGGTATGTGTAAATATGTGTATTTAACAGATATCTGCAAAATCTACAATAGTAAGGATAACCATGGAGCAGGAGGTCAATCATCCAGATGCAGTGCAGCTGGTTTCACCAAGCCACCCATCCTCAAAGCAGAGGCATCTTGCTCAGTGGTCGTAGGGTGTTGAAGAAATAGGTTTTAATCTTCATTGGAACATTTCAGTTATTTGCAAAATAGGGGGCACCATATGCACACAGCGAATATCAGTATCAGTTCATTTTGTTCATTAATTCAATGAAAGACTTAAGTTCCTAAATAACCCAAACTGTTTTTTTTCCCTGAAAGATAGAAACAGGATGTATAAAAATAAATGTCACCCATTGGAGAGTGTCAGTTCAATGTTGTATTGAGATCAACCAATGAGATTTGAATGAAACTTGTCTGCATTGTTTACTATGGTGTCTCATCTTTGGCTTGATGAAACTTTATAAATCCTCCATGGGATTCGGGACAGATCGGCCTGCTGGCCAATTGGTCACCCATTATTCAGTGGCAATCCACTAAAACTTCTTGAAATCGCGGGCAGGTGCCACAGCTTGCTGGGAGCCAAAGTATGCATGAGGTGCTCTATATTTCTGGATAGTCCCCACTGGACAATATAAACACCAGCAGTAGACATGGCTCTCCAAATCATTATTGGTTTAGTTTATTGAACATCCGACCTTATTTAATATCTATGTCTTTACTCTCCCCTCTCGACTATGTGATCATATAATCTCCAAAAAACAACAACTTTGATTTAATGAGATAGTTTGACCACTTAGAAGCAGCCCAGGCATTTTTGTCCTTGTTTGAGGTTGAAAACCAGTTTAACACACAGGATGACGCAGCTGAAGCTGGCGTCCTGGATACGTCCATTTCTGACAGCTCCTCAAACACTGACCTGAGCTGTACTCCAAACCTTGTCACTCTCCATCAACCCCTTGAATGGACTTTTGTTCACAATCCTCTCAAAGCTGCAATTATTTCTGCACATTTTGTGCCACATTTTTTTATTCCACTCAACTTTCCATTGACAGGCTTGGATTCAGTACTTTGAACAGCTCTGACTTTGCGGCTTACCTCCTCGTTGAGGGTATTAAGTCTGTTTTCTAGAAAATCGTTCCCATAATAATAACATAACTCAAAACATTTCTCTATTAAAATCGTTTTTGTTGTTCTTATTTGATATTCTATTTCCCCAGAGTTTGTTTTAGCTATAAACCATTGAAGTCAGGTTTTAAAGAAAAAAATTTGTTGAATGTATATCTTTGTCTGATTATCTTGTTTCACTGTTTCAATTGAATAGCCTGTTGATCATATTCCACATCTCTGAGATGCTCCTGTGTGAACCTGTGAACTGGGTCGATCTTCTTTTAAATGTTCCTTGTTTTTTGGCTCATTCTTTAGCTGGAGGAAGTTCGAGGTATACCAGCTAGCAGTGAGCAAGCTATCGCTGAAGCTACAGCCCGCAAAGAAGACCTGGAGAAGCAGAAGGCGAAAGAAGAAGAAAAACTGAAAGAAGTGATGGAAAGCCTGAAGGAAGAGACGAGTGGATTGCAGCAAGACAAAGAGGTGCATGTAGAAGCTTTGCATTATTTATAAAAAAAGATCATGTAGTCATTTGTTTTAGGTTTTATTTTTACCAGTCGTGTTTGCTTTTACTTTACAGAAAAAAGAGAAAGAGCTCATGGAACTTAGCAAGGCAGTAAATGAGACTCGGTCTCAAATGGACCTTGCTCAATCCGAACTAGACATCTACCTTAGCCGCCATAAAACGGCTCTGAGTCAGCTTAATGCAGCTAAGCAGACGCTCCAGACGACCTCCGATACGCTGCAGGAGCGCCGACCTGCCATCAAAGACCTGCAGGTCCAAATCCCCCTGAAGGAGCAGGAGCTAAAGAAGGTCAGACAGTTACACACCAAAATCAACTGCTAGGTGCAGCTAACTGGTTGTTGACAGGGCATCAGTGGGAGCTTCTGCTTTAATAACTTCCTCTGTTTTGCTGCAGGACCAGGAAGAGTTGGAGCAACTCATGAAGGTGGATAATGACACCAGGCATGTGGTACGAGAATTACGGCAAAAGGTGGATGAAGCCAAGAGCTCTCTTTCCTCCAATCGCAGTCGAGGAAAAGTATTGGATGCTCTAATGCAACTCAAGAGGAGTGGCAAAATTCCAGGCATTTACGGAAGATTGGTAAAAACTCACACAGTTCAAAGCAAACATCTCTAAACTGTTGATGTGTAAATATATATACCGTAACTTTCGGACTACAAGCCGCGACTTTTTCCCCATTTTTCGACCTTTCGGCTTATATAACAATGCAGCTTATCTATGGACTTTTACAGCTAACGGCCACTAGCGTAATACCTAAATCTATGGATTTTACCATCCACCATGTTGACGTCACATTTGCTTCAACACACAAGTACGGTAGCTAATAGTCCGGCTTATAGTCCGGCACGGCGTGTATATGTACAAATCATTCAATTTAGCTTCTGCGGCTTATATTCAGGTGCGGCTAATAGTCCAAAAATTACGGTACATGCATTTTTTACCATAACAGTATTTAAAAAAAATTTTTTGCATGTAGGGTGATCTTGGAGCAATAGATGAGAAATATGATGTGGCCATCTCCTCCTGCTGTGGTGCCCTGGACAACATAGTGGTGGATACGATCGACACCGCTCAGAAATGTGTCACTTTCCTCAAAGAACAGAATATTGGAGTAGCCACTTTCATCGGTCTTGACAAGGTAAGATATTGTGTCTTAGGAACTTCAGTCTACATGCTTTAAAGGCACGATTGTGTTGACTTAAAGTATGTTTTTGCTTTTCTCTCCTTTTATTTATTTATTTTTTCAATTCAGATGAAGGTATGGGAGAAAAACATGGCTCCCATCCGCACGCCAGAGAACAGCCCGCGTCTCTTTGACATGGTGAAAGTTAACGATGAGGGCGTCAGACCAGCTTTCTACTTTGCCCTGCGGGACACCCTGGTAGCTCAAGACATGGAGCAGGCAACTAGAATGGCTTTCCAGAAGGACAAACGCTGGAGGGTGGTCACGCTGAAGGGACAGATCATTGAGATGGCAGGTTGGTGACATTATGCACCTTCACAAAGTTTCCTAGGAGGTGGTTATGCTGACTCCATGTTAGTTTGGAATCAATTTAGTAATTAATGTGCCTTAGTTTCATAACTGTAAACAAACCATTCCTTCCCTAAACATCTGTAGAGATAAGTAGGGCTGGATGATACAGACCTAAAAAAAAAAGAACAATATTTTTAAAGGGAAAATGTTTTTATCAAAACAATTTTTTAAAATTATGATATAAGTATTAATTTTACCCCCCAAAAAAGTATGTCAATGATTGTTTGACACATTTTGACAGGTCCAAACTTTATAAACAATTACCTCTGATTATGAAGCCAACATTTGCACCAAAGGATTCATCACCAATACGAATAGTATGTTGAAATCACGCAAGAAAGAGCTTTGATGTTGCTAGTTTGTTGTATTTCCTGGAAACAGCTGAGAAATGTCTTTTCAGCTTTAAAGGAGAATTCCAGTTTTTAACACTTTTAGCCCATTTTCTGTAGTGTCCAGGATGAAATCGAATGATCGACACCAAAATTTTGACAATTGGTCCTGTCTCTGCTTTTTGGCTCATGCAGAATCCCCCCCTGCCTGCTTCAGAATGGCTTCCATAGTGCATGTCCGATAATGTCCTTTAAACAACCTTAAACGTTCTTTTTTAAAAATATGCTACTCACCGGGTCGTCAGCGCTGTTCAATGACGTTCCAAAAAAAGTTTCGTAAAGAAAAAACGTTCCTGTAGTGTTTTATTTAGCATTTTGTAAATCCCATTGAGTTCTGTTGGAATAGTCAATATCCCTCCGCCACCGGAAACGGAAATGGGGCCTGTTTACACTTAGTTGCAGTCTTTTCGCAAGGCCCAAGTGTTTATGCTTCACTCTGTGTACTCCGACGTCGAGGTGCTAACGTCTCTGTTAAACACTTTAAAAAACTCTGAAAATGGAATACGAAAGGTGGATTCTTGAGGAGGACATATTGGACTTTGAGTTTGACGGTAGAGGATACCGTCGCCAACTAGTGGTCTGGAGTGTGCAACGCTTCAGATTCGAACGGGAAGCGGAGGTTTATAAGCGGTTGTGATGTATCAGAAAAAATAGTTCTGGGATTTACAAAATGCTAAATAAAACACTACAGGAACGTTTTTTCTTCACGAAACTTTTTTTGGAACGTCATTGAACAGCGCTGACGACCCGGTGAGTAGCATATTTTAAAAAAAGAACATTTACGGTTGTTTTAAGGACATTATCGGACATGCACAATGGAAGCCATTCTGAAGCAGCCAGGGGGGGATTCTGCATGAGCCAAATAGCAGAGACAGGACCAATTGTCAAAATTTTGGTGTCGATCATTCGATTTCATCCTGGAAACTACAGAAAATGGGCTAAAAGTGTTAAAAACCGGAATTCTCCTTTAATATTTTTCAGATTCAAACAGCAAATGAGTGAGCAAAGCCTTTACTGAGGAAAATGTCTAAGTTGTGCCCAATTAGTCATTTTCCCACCTGTAATGTGACATCGGACAGGTGTGCGTGGGGAGCTGCTGTGTTTTTATTGGCGTTATCACTCACACTCATCAGTGGGACTTTAACGTATCACCTCATAACCTACAATACTCAAAGGATCTGAAAAATAAGAAAAAGACCTTGGTCGTAATTAGATTCCAAACACTCAACAAAATAACTGAGTTCACATAATTCTGCTTCATACCCAGAGATCGTCTTTTGAAGTATGTCTTCATGGCTGTCATCTTAGAAGGAAGCCCCTCCTAACGATGATTCACAAGAAAGCCAGGCCGAGTGAGGACAAAAATTATAAAAGCATGTCCTGTGGTTTAGTTGGATCAAGATTTAGATCAGATGGTTTAAACATGTGGAGGTGGCAGCCAGATGAGAAATACAAAGACAAGTGTCTTGCCAATAGTCAAGTAGTGTGGTGTCATTTTTTGGGAGCAAGATAAGTGGTGTTGGCTGTCAGGAACATGTAGAATCAGAATGTGAAACTGAGCAGCAGGCCACAGTTCCAACATGCCACATCTATGTTTTTGTTTTTTTTAATCTTTTTGATAATTAAGCCCACTGCTTCTATTAATATTTTCTTCATGTTGGAGGACATGCTCATATCTCCCCTTAGTATGCAAACCATCAGACTGACCCTGAGGCATTGCTCTGCCCCACCTGTAGCCATGGTGAGGTGGCTAAACATTGCGCAGAAATGCTGCGTTTTATTGGCTAGGAAAAAAACGCTAAGAAAACAAACAGACCCGGCCGGTTGGGAATCCTTCTAAACCTGATCATTCACCCCTGCTTTCAAAGCTGGCTCTCTGTCTGCTGGCAGGGTGGTAGCATAGAGGTTCATCCGCTACCGGTGAGCTGATGACCAACTGAAGAAGGGCTGGGCAATTAACAGCATTTCCAATACAGTCACAATTTAACAAAATCAGAAATACTTTAATAATTAAAACAGTTTTCAAATCAAACACTCTATTTTAACTAGAATAAAAGATAACATTTCTCGCTCCAGCCCTTTAGGTGGTGGAGCATGGATATGCATGAAGTGGGTGTGTCACTACACAAGGGAAAGAGAGGTGAAGCTAGCACACAGATCCAGACCTGCAAATAGAAATAAGCAGTTATTCACACAGAGGTGCTACGATGAACTTGGGATAAGCAAGTTTCAAAGTCAAGAAAAACTGAAACCTTGAAATGAAACACCTACATGCTTGTGGTTAGCACTAAGGACAAACGAAATTTTGGTTGAAAATAATCACTATTTTTTTTTTTTTATTAAAATCGTTGAGCTCTAGCCTGATGGGTGCAGGATTCACATTTGAACGCTTTTCACATGTATGTGTGCAAATAGGGAGGTAAAGTGTTAAACAAAACATGGTTGTTATGATGTTATGCTCATAAAAGTCTCTGTACCGCCCCAATTTCAGTGTAATTTTGACAACTTTTTGGTCAAAGGGCCCATACGTTCATTAGATATGAATGTACGGCTAGAACTTTAGCGTAGAGTTCATTAAATTAGTATAAAGGTACGGCATATTCTTAAAGTTTATTTTTTCAATTATTTTTCTTGGTTAAGTGTGCAGATTTTCATTAGAACAGGATAAACCATTAAGTGTCCAGGAGGGTTTTTTCTCATTGATTTTTGTTTCACAGGAACAATGACTGGAGGCGGGAGAGTCTTAAAAGGCAGGATGGGATCTTCTATTGGCACAGAGGTCTCCCAGGATGAGGTTGGTTCATGACGAACTGATAAAGTGTTTCTTAAATGGCTGAAAAGAAAAAGCTAATTTCAGATTTACATTGCCTTGTTGAAAACTATTTCATGTTTATTAAATTTTTTCATTTAAATGTAACATAAAAGCGTAGGGGAATACTCTACGATTGTTTAAAAATGTTCTTTAATACCAATTTAATTCTGGCCCCTATGGATCTGGCCTAAAGATGGTGGGAGTTTTTAATTCTTGATGCGTTATATGAAAAGATCAACCAGCAGAACGGATAATGGAGAAGCAACTCTGATCTATTGACTGTGTATATCCATTAAATGGATAACAAAAACTCAAGGTTTACAGATATAAAATTCAAAATAATGTTCTGTGCAAATTATAAAAAATTGACTCTTAACATGATGGGCATATATCTCTTGTAATGTAAATGAAGCATTTATTATCTAGAGTTGCGCCCCCAGCAAGGCTTTACTTTGTTTTTTTTTCTTATATTATGAAAATATGTATTAATGTAATTACATTTTCACTCTTTCAGGTTAAATAGTGTGAAGTTTATCGACAAATCCAGCTGTTGGCTATTATTTGTGTATATTTTTCTAGAAGTGCTTATGTGATGTGTATTAAGTGTATATTCAATCCTGACAAACCTGATTTTTCTTTTTTGTGCGTGTGTTTTTACAGCTTGACCGTATGGAGAGCAAGCTGAATGAGAAAGTGTCAAAGCTGCAGGGCTGCCAAGAGAGAAGGCTGCAGTTGGAGGAGAATGTCCAACGCCTTCAGCCTCAGCTCAGAGAGATGAAGAACACACTGGAAAAATACACCAACAGCATGAGCGTATGTCATTTTATGCACCGCTTGATTGTGCTTCATTTCTGCCTTAAATGATGCTGGTTGCTCACGTCCATGCAGAAAAACACCACGGTTTTTACCTGATTGAAGAACCTCGCTCAGAGTATTTTTCTTCCTCCCTCAGAGTCTGGCTGACCAGGAGACTCACTTAAAACTTCAGCTTAAGGAGCTTGAAGCCAACGTGCTGGCAGCTGCCCCAGACAAAGCCAAGCAGAAACAGATGGAGAAGAGCCTGGAGGCATTCAAGAAAGGTAAGAACCTCTGCACACTGTGAAGAGAGGTGCTAATTATTTGATGTCATTACATCCTTCCTCATGTTAGATTACAACTGAACTTATACATGTTAAACTAACAGATTTCAGTTTGGATTGACTGTCTCTTAGTGCCTGAAAGATTCAAGTATTCACTTTTTCTTTCCTTTTCTGTCAGACTTTGAGTCAGCCTCCAATAAGGCCGGAAAGGTGGAAAACGAGGTAAAAAGACTCCACAACTTGATTGTAGACATCAACAGCCACAAACTGAAAGCCCAGCAGGATAAACTTGACAAGATCAACAAAGAGTTAGATGACTGCTCCTCAATCATCACCAAGGCCAAAGTGGCCATAAAGACAGCTGATCGGTAAGGAAAGGATGCTCGTTCATGCTGTCTAAACATTAAAGATGGAAGAGTCCAGCTCTTACCAGCTGATACTAATTTGGGGTTTTCTCTGAGGCCTGGGGTTCCAGTTTAGACTGCATACAAACATTGAGAGCTATTTCTCAAAAAAAATAGAAAATGCTCTTTTAAAAATAATGAATAAATATTACATCAAATTAATTAGCCTTCCCATGAAATGGAATAAAGAAAGTAATGTGCAGAAGTGGGTAGTAACTAGTTATATTTACCTCTGTAGCTGTTTGACCAAAATGTACTTCTAGGAGTAATTTCACTAAACTAAACTTTTTAAGTTTTACTCGAGTACTAATTGAGGGTAACTTTATCGAATAACTTTTTAAAATAGAATTTCTAGTCAAGACAGGCAGTGTTTATGTTTTAATGGGTTTTCCTTTTTGAGGCACAAGTTTAGATTTAATCTGAAGCTACTTTGACATTTGGAGGTCGGTAAGGAATAAATGTCATTGCTCTATCTCAGAGGAACCTTCTTTTTCCAAACTCTTCGATGTTGATGTAAGCAGCAGTGATACAGTAAACTTAAATATATGCGTTCAGAGAATGAGGCAATTGTCAGATTATTTGTTGCCATAGCATTGATGTTTCTGTCATGTAGTTATCAATATAATATGCCATTTAAGGTTTATAACTGGAAAATGTGGGGGAAAATTGATGGGATCACAAGACATAAATCCTTTACTGTATTGTATGTGTTTGTCGTGTAGAAACTTGAAAAAGTCTGAGGAGAGCGTTTCCAGAATCCAAGGGGAGCTGGAGGAGAATGAGAAGCTGATGACTGAGCTCACAGAAAAACTGAAGAAACTAGAAGATGAGGCCGGGGAGATCATGAAAGCCTGTCATGAAGCAGAGGTTAATGCTTTTTATTTCTAAGATCTGTAACTCACTAATAAGCTTTTCTGGTTTGTTTTCCATGAACCGGTATTCGTATCATAATATCTCAAACGAGCGTTGGTTTGTTTTCTCTCCCAGTAAAGCTGTTCTTCAGAGTCTCTCACCCCAATCGCCTTGCTGTCCTCATCCTGCTCTGTTTCTGGTCCTGTAGGCAGCTCTTCCTGAGGTGCGGGAGCAGTATGAGAACGTCTCCAAGGAGATAAAGGCCCTGCAGCAGCAGGAGCACGCATTGCAAGAGGAGTCTCTCAACGTCCGACTTTCCATCGAGCAGATAGACGCCACCATCACAAAGCACAACAGCAAGATCAAGTTCTGGCAGGATGAGGCGAGTCAACTGAAGAGTCATGTAACCATCAGGCTCCCTGCTTCCTCTGACGGGGTCTTTAATGCCTGTTGTTTATGTTCCAGAATGCCAAGCTGTCCCTTCACACCATTGAAGACCAACCAGCAGAAGAGCTCCGTGTCTTTCCCCCTGCTGAGCTGGAAGCGATCCCAGATCCAAACATCCTTGTCAACAAGATTAGCACGTTGGAGAACCAGTGCAGACAGATGAAGCCCAATCTAGGAGCTATTGCAGAGTACATGAAGAAGGTACGCACCAGTCAGGCGTCCTAGTTTGCTAAGCTAGTAGGGAGGGAGGGAGGGGGTCATCACGTCACATATGGTCAAGGAGTATCCACTCTACTCACTTCTGCTAAAGCTCACCTGTCAGTGAGAAAATCAAAGGTTTCCTGATTTGGAGCAAAGTAGGATTAATTCAAACTCTGCTGCTCCTGTCCAATATGACCTCCTACAGTCACTGATTCAATGAAAGAAAATTACTGTTTGATTAATTTACTGGATTTTAGCTTTCTCAAAACTTATTTTCCTACATCAGAAATCAGCCACATTAAGAATGACTACAAAGCGGTGAGCTACATCCTTTATTGACATGTATGTCCGACGCTTTGCCTCCTTAGGAGGAGCTGTACCTGCAGCGTGTCGCCCAGCTGGACGAGATCACAGCAGAGAGGGACAGGTTCAAACACGCCTACGAAGACCTCCGTAAACAGAGGCTTAACGAGTTCATGACCGGGTTCAACATGATCACCAACAAGTTGAAGGAGAACTACCAGATGCTGACGCTGGGTGGGGATGCAGAGCTGGAGCTGGTGGACAGCTTGGATCCCTTCTCTGAGGGAATCATGTTCAGGTGAGGGAGGAAGACGCAGGCGCTGCAAGCCGAGGGGGGTTATCTGTAGCTGCAGGATATTTGACTCCTTCATTTGTTTTAGTGTTCGTCCTCCGAAGAAAAGCTGGAAAAAGATCTTTAACCTGTCAGGAGGAGAAAAGACCCTCAGCTCTCTGGCTTTGGTTTTCGCTCTTCATCACTATAAACCCACCCCACTCTACTTCATGGACGAGATAGATGCTGCTCTGGACTTCAAGAACGTCTCCATCGTTGCCTGTTACATTTATGTGAGTCTGAATCTCTGCATGATACGTCTAGATGTCCCTTGGTTTCTGTATATAATTCTATATTTGTTTTATTAAAAAAAAAAAATCAATATGCTGTTTGATACCAACATGTTTTATATGTAACTGTAATGAGTTTTATCCTTCTGGTTGCAGGAACAAACAAAGAATGCTCAGTTCATCATCATCTCGTTGAGGAACAACATGTTTGAGATCGCAGATCGCCTCATCGGCATCTACAAAACACACAACACAACCAAAAGTGTGGGAATCAACCCAAAGACCATTGTGTTTAGAGAACATGATGCTATAACTGCATAAAACCCAACTTTCGTTTTTTTTTTTACTTTTTTCATGAACCATGTAAATATTGTCCTTTTTTAAAGTGCTGCTATTCTTACAATTTAAAATAAACTTAAAATGAACCCCATTGTAAAATTATGTTAATCATTTAAGGTCCCAGGAAACAAATCAGAGGACATGTTAATAACAGTTTTTATGCTCCAAGTGTATTTTTTGAACATTAGTGTTAACAGTTAAATACCTTTTTTTTTTTTTACTTTGGAAAAATTATTTTGTTCTGTTTGTTCTAATTCTCTATGTAGAAATGTTGCTTTTTATCACTCCCTCCAAGGTGAAAATATATATTTTTATACTGGTTTGATCTCTCTGGCCAAGTCAGTTGTCTACTTTGTTACAGAAAATGTAAAAAAAAAAAAAAAAACTTCAGTTTGGCCCAGCATTTGAGAAATGTCCAATATTCCTGGATGCAGTCGATGTTAATTTTTGGGTGGCCAAAAGTGGGGAAGTGGGTTTCTTGAAACGTTTATTAATTTGGCTACACTACAAGTATTAGTTGCCGTCATTCAGATTTTTTAATTTATACACTTTCGGTGTGTAGGATTCATTTTAGTGACAAAGTTTGAATTCACTTGGACACTGACAAAGATATCACACCACAAAGACCAGGATGGTGTAGAACAGGCATCCCTAAAGTCGGTCTTCGAGGGCCGCTGTCCAGCAGGTTTTAGAGGTTTCTCTGCTTTAGCACAGCTGATTCTGATGATTGCATTTCAGAAAAAGCCTGTTAATCAACTATCAATGTAAATCAGCTGTGCTGGAGCAGGGAAACCTAAAACTTGCAGGACAGCGGCCCTCGAGGACCGACTTTGGGGTTACCTGGTGTAGAAGGTTAAAAGGAAAGCTCTGAAGAACAGCATCAGAAAAAAAAACGGTCTAACTTTCTAAATCAATTTTTTAACAGGTGTTGATTGTTATATTGTATTGTTACTGCAAGTGGGGGCTAGAGAGAATCCATGATGCATGGGAAGAACATGCACATTGGCTTTATTTTTTTGTCCACCTGCCATGGTATTAAAATGGAACAGGGATGGTTCTATGGTGCAGATGTTGCATTATATGGCCAGTAGATGGCAGTGTGTAGAGCCACTGCCTATAGAGTTGGGCTCTGCACAGCTCGACTACTTCCTGAACTTAAAGCAACTCTAGTATTTCCTGTCTTTTTCTGATGGATGAAATGATTAATCCAGGTGTGTCTGGCCCCCTTAACAAGGTGGTCAGACACACCTGGATTAATCAGTTCATCCAGTGATTAAATCCAGGAAACAGCAGCGCTTCCTGAAGGTCAGGAAGCAGTGGAGTTATGCATAGAGCCCATCAGGTAGCTAGAAGTCTAAAGATTCATCTGCAAGCTGAGCTTTCCTTCCACATGCATCAACACCACACTGCCAAAATGAAAAACACAATGGAACTAACATTTTTATTGAAAACAGAAAAAAAAATTTTTTACATTTCCAGATCCCAGTTTGCATCAAACCAATGTCATTTATTACAAGGCAGCATAAAGTATTTTTTTTTTTTTTAATTAAGATTCAGTTTCCAAAGGTGGGTTTTCCAAAGACAAAGGCATGGTGGTAAAGGCAGTTATGCAACACATTCCTCTTATTTGTTGTAAACAGTCTGCTGTGATAATATCCAGATGCAAAGTGTCTTGTAAGGTTAAATTTGAGCCTTAAAGCATTATGCCTGTAATAAACAGTAAGACGAACAGAACATGAGATCAAAATACTGAGTGCTACATAATGTGCATTGAAAGAGTGGAATTAGAAACAGCCTCGGAAAAGTGTTGCTGAAGCATTGCTCTGATTATGTACCATCATTTCCCTATGAGTGGCTATAGGCAACAAGCACAGAAGATTCTGGCTTAATTACATTCCTGTTTTGTTAAAAAGTTTAGTGTTAAAGCAGAATTAATTCCTGTTGGCACTTAGGCTCAAAGAAAAGGATTTTTTTTTTAAATGCTAATAAAAGAAAACAGACCAAATTAAACAAAAACAACTGGTAAATGTTTCAGTATTAATGATATAAAAGTTTACTTTTGGGAAACAATTTAAAGAGTTCTGTCTCCAGTTTAGCCTCCCTCAGTGAGAAAGAGTTTTAAATAAGGCAACCACCTGCTGAGAGACACAGTCTTTGAATACAGACAGCTGTGAGCCCCACTCCTGCAGAGCCGCCCCAAACTCCGCCCACTGCCGCGCCAGGCTATCCCAGACTGATGTGAGCAGGTCATCGCTCAGAGCCTGGACCAGCTGACTGAAGCTGGACAGGACAGAGAAGCCGAGTGATGCTTCTCCAACAGGGTTGGCCCACAGCGCTGCCAGCAGCAGCAGCAGGCCCAGGAGCAGCACAGAACCAGCGGGCTGCAGCCAACACCACCTGTTCGAGGCGGGAGAGGTTACTTTCGCTTCAGTCTCTGTACTGCCGCCGTTACATCTGGCACAGCAGCGCAGTTTGGCAACAGGCGCCTTCTCCAGGCTGCCGATGGTCACGGCGGGCCAGTTCTGCTGCAGAAACTCAGAGGCTGGCGGCGTCACCGAGAGGCTGATCACAGAGGGCAGCGGGGATTCGAGGAACTTCTCCACCCGATCTCTGAACTGATGAACCTTCTCCAAAAACACCAAAGGGGATTCTTCCTCCTCCACAGATGATCCTAAAGACACCAGATCCAACTGCTCCTCCTGGGAACAGTCAGCAAATTAAAGCAACTCAGTGATTGAAAAACAATTTTTCAAAGTGGTTTAGATTAGGGCTGCAACTAACTATTATTTTGCAAATCGATGAATTTGTCGATTATTCTTTGATTAATGTATTAATAATTGGATAGCCAAAGATTACTTACAGAAGGTATTTTACAAAATGAAACCAGGTGAAACAAAAAAATTTTCAACATGAGTTCTGGATAGAGCATTTTGACAAAAGAAAATGCAAAATATTAACATATATTTTTACAAATTTTACATAATAGCTGCTCTAAGCGTGTTGCTCTGTCAGCCAAAGGCATGTTTTACAGTCTCTATTCTCCAGTTAATGATTAATTAATTGCTAAATTAGTTTATGCTTATTTCAATAATGATTAATCAGTTTAGATACAACTTTATTTAGATATGCATTAAAAGCATGGATCATTTTTGTTTTTAATTGTATTTGCTAAATCAAACATTGAATATGCCACTAGCGTTAAGCATGTTAGAGAAACAGTGATGCTGTGTGTCTTTTTAGCTTTCCAAAACCCTGAGAACCTTGTTAGAGTTCATCCGGTCACAAACCAATTTACCAGAACATCTAAAAAATGCCACAAAATATTTAGTTCACTAGACGCTGCATCCACCTTTTATCTAAGAACCTGGATGGTGAGATTGCCTGCAGAGAAGAGCCTGGAGTTAATCACTGCAGTCAATTCGGAGTGTTTTCCTATTAACATAAGCTATTGTTTTAGAAAAGGGTGACATTCAATATTCCAGCATTTTTTTTTTTTTTTTTAGAAACAAATGGGCTCTGAGCTCAGACTAATCTTGTATTTTCAGCAGGAGATTTTTTCCAACTAAACTAAACTCTTTGATACAGACGAGAAAGCAGATGAAGCGTTTTGTTGACGTTTCTACACACCTGCAGCTCCTTGACTCTGTGGATGAGCGGGTCATAGGCCTCTGATACCTCAGCTGAAGCTCTCCTCAAAGCCTCCAAGTAGGCCTGCTTCTTCCTGGCCAGAACCTCCTCTAACGAGGTGAAGTACTGATTGACCTCCTGGGTGTCCTGCCTCAGCAGGGCGTCACAGCGGGCCTTCTCCTGCTCTAGCTGCTCCCCCAGCTCACAGATCTTAACGGAGGAGCAGGATAACGGTCAGTTTGACTCCTATCTGGGTTTCTGGAACCTCTAGGCTGGCTTTCCTCCTACCTGACTCCATCTCTGCTCTGACAACCTGGAGAGCAGCAGCACCGGGGTTTCCATTTCTTTGATGAAAGCTGCCTGCAGGTCATCTATGGGATGACCCTGGTGCTGGCCGATGGTCAGACACAGACCGCAGATCATCTGCCGGTCCTGGATGCAGTACATGTTCAGAGGCTGCCTGCTGTGCTCCTGGCAGGACTGCGCTCGAGGTTCGCCGTCCCTCTGGTACTGAAACCACAGCGGCAAAAATGACAAAAATAAGCATCAGTGCAACTCGTTTTTTTTTTTTTTTGAAACTCTTCCTTAAACGTGTCGTACTTTCTCAACAATGGCTCGCAGAGACACGTTGGATGGGAGAGCGTCCACGCCGGTCGGGGGCAGCTCCGCCACACTGCGGCAGTTGGGGCATTTGATGGGCAGGCGCAGCGGGCGCCAGATGGAGGTGTTGCTGGACACCTGGAGCAGGTTGTCCAAGCAGTGTTTGCAGAAAGTATGGGAACACGGCAGGACGCGCGGGTCAGAGAAGAGCGAGTAGCACACCGAGCAGGTCAGGTCCTCCTCCACGCTGTCCATCACAGAGCCCGGAGATCCGTCAGGGGTGGACCGGAGGCTTCCTGTTAAAAAAGAAAATTCACCTCTCACTTGGACGTTTGTTCCACCACTTTTCCTGGGACGTTGGAATATTTTCCTCTTCGTAGGGTGTGTTTTTTTGGTAGAGAGCTTACTGCTTCGGTTGGTTAACCTGCAGAACTCTTATGGGATCGCCTTATATTGTCTTTGCACATAGCAGACGTCTACTACCAACAAAAGTTTTTATCCTCAGAGACTTAAGCAGCTGCTATGGTTGAACCAGTATACCTAGCTTTTAAATAAAGCTCTAGTTTCAAATATGCCCCATATCCAACTCTAACTGTGCACAGATAGCCAGCAGGCTGCAAGAAGACTGCTACTTTATTCATACATGTGGTCTCTCTCTTCTTTTTTAAACATTTATAAAAGTGATGCTTTTTCTACTCAATTCGAAATATATTTAAAATGTATTTGTTTTTTGCTTTTGTTTGCTCAGCTATCATCAACTTATAAAAGCAGTCCTAATCTCAAGGGATGGGTCACAGTTGTCTCTACGCATACCAGACGTCTAAAGGCACCAAACCAACTTTCCATTAGGTCTTTGCCACCATCAGCCAATCATACAGCTGGAAACTAAAAATAGACATAAGTTGGTAATTTGGGGTCTGGAAATGTGGACAAATTTGGCATGTGTGAGCAAATAAAAGACGAAAGCTTTTTTACATTCCACTTCTTGAGCCCTTGAATGATATATTACCTACTGTAAATTAAGTTTTAAAAAAAAGGTTAAAAAGTCAATTAAATGGTAAAAAGCTAATTGAAAAGTTAATAAGCCTTGTTACAAATTATATTTACATTTATAAACTAAAAAATGTAAATGCCAGTATCAGCATTAAAGCCTCTAAGGTTATGTTGGACCAAAAAAAATGTCTTTCTTTTTAATGAATTTCTTATAGAACCACTTTTGTTATTTTTCTTAATATATTCAGGCAAGTTGGTGTTTCTTGTTATTAGATAGACATTTATTTTTACCATCAAAATATTAATATTTTTTTTAATGTTACAAAGGAAATAAGGTGTAGTCCTGGATTCCAATAACACTATTGGCTTAAAATGTTGATTTACAAAGTATTTTACTGAGTGCCCTATAAAGGATTAAATTAGTTGTATAAATAAATATTAAGTCCTGCATATAAACACTCCTTCATTTTAGACATCCATAGGTTATATGACTGGGCTAAATAGTAAATAGAAGAAACTTTTGCTGCTTTCAATGTGCTGGTTAGAGGAAACAGAACAGACCTTGTACTGAAGGAAAAAACAAGCTTGGCTCCTGTTACCCTGATCGGTTATGCTGTTTTGTTTCTCCTCGTGTTACATTCAGGAGCCCAGCAACAATAAAAGGGCCGATGCCCCCCAGAGACACACCGCTGTACCGCCCCTGTTCTCAGCAGCTGATAGGGGTCCATTAGTGGACAAATCCGCCTTAAAACCAAAGCTTAGTTTTAACATAATCTACATTTCTAGCCACATCAGTCGTTCTAACAATTTTATTTAGTAACAACAACTTTTATGTTATTTTTTAAGAAAATAACTGTCACTTCCCACATAAAAAAACGTCCAATCATCCTTAAAACAACCTTAAATGTTATTTAACTTTTTTTTTTTTTTGTAAGCAGTCAGTTAAATCTTGTCGTTATTACCGTTCGGTAACCACATTTTATCTACATTTAGATGATTCAATTAAAACCAGGCACATTTACCGTCTGTTTAAAGCAAAGCGACCCCAACAGCTTTCCTCTTTTCTTCCTTCTCTGATGCATTCAAGTACATTAACAAAAAAAACGTATTTCCAAAACAGCAGCGCGACCCGTAGCACTGAAGCTACATCCAAATTAGAAAAAAAGTCACTTTTAAATACATGACACTTGTTTTGTTTTTTTTAATAAAAGATGTTTTCTTTAAGGATGCCGATAAAAAAAATCCTCAAAACAGCGCGATTTGTTGGCCCTCAGAAAATATGCTGCGTTTTTTTTTTTTACCTCGGAAGTTTGACTTTGATATAAGTAACGCGAGAGGTTAACAAAGTTCGTGCATTCCTCTCCGCTTTAATAAACGCGTTAAAGTATAAAGTTTGTAGATACGTGACACAGGCCGTCTAAAGCGTAAATAATTCTGAAAAGGTACACGCGACAACCATATAAAAAAAAATACATACTTCAGGATTCATCCGACATTCTGTCTTCAGATAATAGTTAATTTCGAGCCGCCACTGTTGATAAACAAGCAGACCCGTCTCTACTTTCCCATTACAGCTGTTCTACTGTTGGTAATGCGCATGCGCACTAACGGTTGATCGGTCAGTCTGACCAATCAGATGCTGACTTTTCTTTTTTCCGAAAGCAGCCTTGAAACAATTGGAAGACGCCCATATGAAACGTTTGAAATTACGAATATGTTTTAATAGTACGATATACATTATGCTTTATACTAGACGTCTTTAACAGGGGATCCGCGCCCCCTAGGGGACGAAGGTACTTTTTATCAGTTTGATTAAACGGTATAAAAGTACCTTTGTCCTAGGGGGTCCGTGGAGGTACTCCATGGGGGTCGCGAAAGTTTTCGTTATTATTCTATACATTAAGATGAATTCAACACACTAGTAAACAGATAAATGGAGGCAGAAGATAATCTTTCAGTCCTCAATGCAGAACTGGGTTTCTGAGTAAAAATAAGTCCAATATCTGACAAATTAGTGGAAATGAGAAGATATATATATTTTTTGTCATTGTTGTTCCATTAAGTTTATTGTAAGAACAGAAACATAGACTATAGATTTATTTCAGTTCTTCAAAAAGTCAGAGAAAGAATATCAAGATTTGACGCATAAAATATCTAATCTTAAAAAGTTTTTCTTTCTTTTTGCAAATATGAATCAACACTATAACATTGTTTAACATTCTAAAAACATTACTTTTTTTTTTAGATAGTCTTCAACATAAATGACAGATTAACCAGAGAAAAGAGGTCAAACAGGTATAGCATAGCTGTAACCTAAACCTTTTTTTTTCTCCCCTGCAATTTTTTCCACTAATTGAAATGTCTTTAAATTCACATTAAAATGAATTCAACACAATGTAATGAACAGATAAATGGAGGCAGAAGATGTCTTTCAGTCATCAACGCTCACCTTCAGCGACACACAGGAGCTCTTTCAAGCTGGGAACCGTTTCATTCACAACACCTGTCCCATTAAACAGGAATCAGAATCAGAAATACTTTAATAATCCCAGGGAGAAATTACTTTCGTTACATTACTCCATATGTAATAGAGTGACTATAGGACTAGTTTGATATAACACAATCTCATAGTATATTTATAATTAGGGGGTCCCAGCTCCATCTCACCATCAGTTTGGGGGTCCTTGGACTGGAAAACATTAAAGACCCCTGATCTATACTATTAAAAAGGCTTGTTTCAAATTGCATTATTATTTTCTGGAAGCCTTCCATACCATCTCCATTAATCCTCAGCATGATTCCCACTCAGGACTCTGGGGTTATCTTAGATATGACATTAAATGAGCTCTGATCAAAATGTTAACCCTAGAAACAATCTTGATTTGTTTATTGGGGTATTTTTGATACAGTAGAAAACAAACGAGTAATAAAAGAAATTTTAATTTCCATCCATATGTCGCTTTTCATACATGTATAAGAAATTTCACATCATTTTAAGATTGTTGCTGTCTATCATAGCTTATGCCTTCTGAGAGATCAGATAAAAAAGACTAACTCAGTCCACAATGAACGGTGAAGGTGTGTGTGTTTTCACACAGCTTTAAATGTCTGTTGGGTGATGTGAAGGTAACCACCTCTCCTTAAACACTGATAAACTGATATATTTTAAGGATCGAGTGAGCATGGTGCTATGCAGGGAAAACCAGATGATTCATTGAGGTTTTGGGTTCATTAACCTGCTTTTTTCCTTCCACACCAAAAGCTCTCAGATGGAAACTTTTCTCTTTTTTGCTCCAGGATATTTTTAGAAAACAATTGAGAGAAAAAATCAATCCGAAACTGAGGAAATAGAACACTGCTCACACCATGGCTAGGAAAGAGTTAAAACGGTGAGTCAACAGGCAGACCATCCAGCTAACTGTGGTTTTATGGTTACCGTAAGTTTGTTGTACCGGTAGTTATTTTTCAAATGTTCAATAGAAAACTGCTGATTTCCTTGGGTTGTGTTGATTCAACAAATAAAATCTAACAATCATCTTACATGTTTAGCCCTGATAAATTAGCCTTTTTTTAGTCTCTTTTGCTCTCAAACGTTTGAGCCATGCACAGAAAACCTCTTAAGTTAGCAGTCCAAATAGTAAAGAATACATTATTTTGTCACCCATTTCAGAGAGGTAAAGTTACATATAGACTTTATATACATATATATTTCAAGCCCTCTTTTTATGATTTGGATGATTACTATACGAGATAACGAAAATCCTAAAATCCAACATCTCAGGAAAATTTGAATATTACAAAAGAGAAAAACATTTAGAAGAACTAAAATGGACAGCTGAGCTCATTAAGGTGTGAAGCCATGCGTTTCCAACACCTTTACTTTTTCCACCCTAACTTAATTTTCTTAAGACACTAAATATTGGGTTTTCCATATCTGCTCAGTAATACAAATATGGTGGAAAATACAGGCTTAAAATATTGCGCTGTGTAATAGACTTATTTAAATGAATAAGCTGTTTGGATGAACCTGATTGATTCTTGCTGCAGTTTCGTATTTGAGGGTTTTACTTCATCCAATAGATGAAGCAATAACTTGATTTAAAAAAAAAGCTAAGTTATTAAGCAGTTAGACGGGTTGATACCCACCACAGTATGCTCTTCTATTCTTGTGACTGGAGTACAGAGTTCTTAAATCCCTTCACAGTGTGCCGGTTTGTTAGGTTTTCACATTTCTGCTGGATTCATAAAGGTAATATCTAATTATTTAAACTATTACATCAGTTTTGTATGGTATCCATGGAAACCATTGATGCAGAACTGGCTGTTCTGTAAAAAAACTTCACTTTTTTTGCCACCAACTCAGCTGCCATGTGCCTACTTTTTTCTTAGCTGCTTCACATGAGTGGTAAAAGTGTTCCCTCAAAGTCGCAATGTAGTGCTGCTGGTAGAAACTAAAGGAACAAAATGAAACAATGCAACAACAACAAAAAAAAAAGGATTAAAACGAACAGAAAACGCACAAACAGCCTCTCGGTTTGGGTTTCTCTATTTATTTTCATGAAGACAGTCCATCCTTTAGCCTTCCTTCCCTCCCAAAAAAAAGGTTTTAGGCTTTCTCCTTTCTTCCAGCTCATAATTTTAAGATTTGAAACCACTTTGCTAACAAGGAATGCTGCAAAAAAAAAAAAAAGAATTACCCCTATGTTCAACAGAAGGTTTATGAGCACAATGTATAATTAATTACTACAGTGTTTGAAGTGAAAGAAAAAAAAAGAAAAAAAAAAAAAGAGGTTAAGCTTGAACATTTAGCTTGTAGAAAAACAAAAGAAGGGTAAAGGGAGAAGACTCTGCAAGGTACTTAAGTTACAGCAAACTTGTTCATGGGTTTATTCATTATTCAGGTAAACCCGTTTAGAACAGCTCCAGTCTGACACATGGGACACCTTTGACTTTGAGAGGAAGGAGGTTAAATCCCCTGCAAGTCAAGCTGAGATACATCAGCAGATTCATCAACTGCTGCTCCTGAAATAAAGTACTTATATTCTCAAGTAGCACTAAAAAGTATCATTAGATTACTTTAGAAAGACAACAAAGACTGTGGCTGAGTGATGCATAATGTAAAGGTTGGTCGGGCGGGGGCGTTCAAACCCACCAACACTCACCCAGGCCTCACTTTGCAGTACATGTGCAAAACCATACAGATTTTTTAGCAAAATTTGACAATAGTGAGGAGAAAGGGAAACATGTAACATTTAAGCACAGTATTACTTAAAATAAAAATTACACTGTATTCACAGCCTAAGGAAACTAAAATACCCTAAAAATAACTGTGCTAGTACATGCAAGGGTTATGATTCACAATCCTACGCAACGTGGCCATCGATTTGTTCTCCTGTGGCGATACTCGAAGCTGTGGCAGCGGTGATTCTGCTGGAAAATGAAGAAAGATGAGCGGGAGGATTTGGTTGGTTCTGGTGGGTAGGGTCTGAATTTCACAGCATCAAGCCCACATCTGGTGTTCAGCTTAGGGGGGTCAGGAGGAAGGGAGGGATATAATGATGATGATCATCATTCACCTTTACAGAAAAGAAGTGAAACTAAAAGCTGAAAATAAAAAATATATATATAATAAAAAAAAAGGAACACACTGGAGAAAAAAAAAGCCCAAAAGCATCTTAATTTAACGCAGGCTGCTCCTCCACACCTAACAGAAAGAATGTCCAGTGTCAATTAATACTAAATTATAATTCCAAACAAAAAATATTAATCTTTATGATTTTTTTTTTTCATTTTTTTCCTAAGTTCTTCCTTTCAGAAATTTGAGGATCAGCCTCATTCAAAAGGCAGAATTAACTTTCCTGCAACCTTTGCGTCAACGTGTTGTTGAGTTTCTCTTCAGATGTCGTCGTTTGCGTTTTTTCTCGCTTCCCTTCCCTGCATGCGCTCTCTCCCAGACTCGCACTCTTCCCAGTCACACGCAGCCAAGCGCACACACATCTCGTCCGTCCATTCTCTCGCACATGCGACACGTTCAGTCAGACTCCTAGCCCCGCCTTCTGGTGGGGGAGACGGGTGAGGAGGGGAGGGGGGCGTCTCGTTGGAGGAGATGAACCTGGCTCCTCAGCGCTGAGTCCAGACATCCATACACAATGAGTCCATTCATACTCTGTCTGATAATCGTGGCCGGTTTTGGGAGGGGCACGTCGTAGGTGGCGCCCCCTCCTGGTGAGAGGAACGCTTAATTGTAATGAGTCACGGTTCATTTCTGTCCATATTTATATTCATATCTGTTTTTGAAGGTGGTCTGTCAGGACGTCTTGATTTTCCTGCTCCAAATGTCCTCGGTTCCCCCCTGGAAAGACATCCACGTGTTTTGTTTTGTGTTTTTTTGTTGTTGTTGTCACTTGTAGAAATTTTCCAGAAGTCGACAACTCTGATAAAGAAGTTACGTCGGCGTGTCTCAACGCATTCGATGTAGATGTTTTGCTTCTTTTTTTGAATGTTTTTTTTTGCAACATGTAGCCACTCATTCTCACTCGCACCCACTCGCCATCTCAAACTTCATTTGGGCTGGTTCCTCTGGAATGCCAAATGAAATCCACATATTTTTCTCTCATATAAGATGCAGCCATGGATCCCACGAGCCAAGCACAATGGATCGAATTTCTCACACTCGCTCTCTCTCGCTCTTTCTCTCCTAATTGGTTTATGTTGAACAGGGTGCTGCATCGCGAACAAAACTCCAGAATAAGCCCAGGTGACGTCTAGAACTGGAACCCCTTGGCTGGCACGTTGGCTGAGTTAAAGCTGAAAGTCCCGCCTTGGATGGCGTCTGGGACCAGGCTGGTGTCTTCGTCAATCTGAAGAGATGAGAGAGTTTACAGTGAGCAGCAAGCAAGAAAAATAACCAAAGACCTGCAGACATGGGAAATGTTATAAATGGTAAAAACCTTGTGACAGAAAAGCTGCCACGGCATCGACTTTCTTTACTAGTCTAGACTTCAGACGCAAACCACCAACAGAAAAGCAGTCATGGCGGGAAGGGGCGACAATCTGCTCTTTAATAATTTACCCTCCAAGTTTGATCTGCCAGTTTTACATTTGACTGATTTAGATTGGATTTATTTAGCCACAATAACACAATGAGGAGAGATGGAGAGAAAAACAAGCTCCAGACTATTTGATCGCAGACCTAGGACTTCTACTTCTACAGAAAAGGAACTAATTAGAAAATTCCACATAAAAAACAAACCTCTAACCCTCATTTAATTATCACTAAATTTACAGAATACATTTTGTATGCATGTTACAGATTAGAGGCTGGTTCTGGTCATAAAACTACCGGCAGTCAATCCAACTGGTTAAATAAATCATTAGCACGTAAAGGATGGCTTTCGTATGGCGTAACAGCTATTACATCCAAGCAGTCGTTACTTATCAGTATTTTAGACGTACTAATAATTTAATGAATTTTCTGCTTTGATCTGTAGAGCAGTGCTAACCCAACACTTAAGGACTGAATCAAGGCTAAAAAAAGAAAATACATTTTTTTTCAAAAGCTGATATAAACTAATTGGTGCAATGACAACACACAAAAAAAGAAATCACATTTTCTTTGGTTTGTAAGACATTTTTTTGAAATGACCCTAAAGTAAACAAGGTAATTTGAAATGTCATAATTAATTTCATTTGTTTCTAAAGGAGACGACTGATTGAAATCACTTTTAAAAATGACAAGACAGTAAGTCTCATTTGGGCAACAAATCTGTCGACTGCTGTTTTTAAAGGGATCATCATGCAGAGTAACTCCTACATCATGAGTCCTTTTCTACTACTCTTTGATTCAACAATGCTACCTAGCATTGTTATTACGATTTTACTAACATGTCAATGTTTAATGCATTTCTTTATATTGATGCACAGCGATAAATCAGTGGTTAGAATATAATCCATACAACATGTAAATACCTTTCACTTTGTGCTACTTACATCATCAGATGAGAAGTACTGATCTATTATTTCATATGCCAGTTTGTAGATATCTTCGTTTTCATGATTTTGCAGCAGCTCAATTTTTTCCAGTCCTGCAGGACCAAATAGTTCATCAGTGATCAAACATGATGGGAACAATAGCCATTTAAAGATGACGCTGAATAAACCTACCTCCACATTCCTCAATGAGATTGGCAATCGTTTCCGCCTCGTCGTCGGCCATCTTCAGGATATTGCTGAGGCCGTCCAGAACGACTTGCACGACTTGAGCGTCTTTTACTGTGAGCAGGTTGCAGAAGGGAGGGATCACCTGCTTCTCTATGAGGTGCGCCACCTGACGACAAGGCATCATAAATACATTAGTCACTTTAAAACAAAATGACACACACAGATATAGGAATATGATTCTATATATTATATTAAGCATAATTTATATTTTAAAATCAAAATCAGAGCTACAGTTAAAATATCAAGAAAATTTAAAGCCTTAAGAGGAACAAAAAAGTAGTTTTCTGAACAAACCCTGGACAAAATAAAAACATGAACAAGCATGAGAATTAACGGGCACAATCACTGTAGGATGCTCTACCTGGTCTTTCCGCCCACTTATCGTCAGGTTACTGATGGCCCAGGCTGCTTCTTTCTGAGTACCAAAGTCACCCTGAAATTCACACATTCAGAGTTAAGCTACTTTTTTTTTTCCAGGAAGGTTTTTTCCACAACTACAACTTGATCCAAACCTTGTCGAGCAGGTGGATGATCATGGAGACCAGCTTTGCATCAATGACAGCCTGCACCTGTTGCTGGTTGCCGGCTGTTATGTTGGACAGGAACCACACTGCCTCCTAAAGGACACAGAGTGCAATTACAGCATTGAGTCCTGATGACCTGGCACCTTTTCCTGAAATGTTCATATTTTCTAGGCTTAAAAATAAATAAATGAAACCGATTTGTGTCTGAGATTGATCAGAATCCAGAGGTCGACCCAAATGAGCTGACCTCTGGTAGAGACCAGTGCTGTGGGCGGGGAGGGGGTGGTTTGAGGCTCTAATCATCGTCCAGTCATAAACAAGGCCTCGTTTTTCAATGACTGGTCTCAGATGCACTCCGATATCAGCAGGGATATTTCAGCACCCTTTACTCCTCCATCCCATGATAACACATTCACTCTGACACACACACACCTAAACCCCACCCACCCTAATCTATAGCTGACTACCAATGGTCCATCTTCTTCACCGTCTTCCTCTTCATGAATCTTCCTGCTGTGAATTCTTACTATCAACTCTCTAATGCTCCCATTATCTCACACTCAACAGTCACACCTGCACAAAGTCTCAGATTTCATCATTTCCAGACCAAAGGGGTAGATTGTGTTTTTTTTAATATATTTTTTAAGTTTGTTGATGTGCAGAGTCAGAATGAGGACGGCCTTACCTTATTGATTTTCTCTTTAGGGTGGGTGAGGAGTGACGGGAAGTGGCTGAGGGCGTCACAGTTAAGAACCACCTGCGTCTGCTCATCTGTTCCAGTCACTATGTTGCCAACAGCCCTTAAAGCTGCAGTCTGGATGTGGAGAGGAAGCAGAAAACTGAGTTAAAAAAAGCTTCTATAATCCAGTGTGTGAAATGTTGCAGTGAGTATAGAGAAATGGTTCAGTGTAAACATCAGACCTTTCAAGAGGTCGCTTATCTATACATTCTCTTTTATACTATTTTCACAACACCATGTAATTTCTGCCTTTCTAATTTTCCGCTGTCTGTATCACTGGAGGTGAAGTTCAATCCGTTAAGGGAACAAACTTTCCCATAATCGGAAAAGATGTTGCAACTACCTACAAAACAAGCTAAAACTTGTTTTGTTTTTTGCAATGCCCCTAAATTTAAGCCATTTATTGTCCCACTAGTAGCTATAGTTTTCCTCCTGTAGTAGTGTTTTTTCCTATTTTTTAAACTATATTACTGAGAGTGACCCACACTTCCATTCACTAGAGTCAGCTTTCCAAAACCTGTGATCTCTGAATTGATTGAAAAGCTAGAATTTAGTTATGCAGACAAATATTTTGGCAGCAGTGTATACGACGTGAACTTGGCACAGCCTAATCTTAAATGATTCGATTAACATCCCGTTCTACGCCGCCTCGTTTCCTTTTCATACCTGAACTTTGACTTCATGATGGCTGAGTAGAGGTACCAGGTGAGGAACAATGCCGGAGTCAATGACCATTTGGATCTGCTCATTTCCAGCGTCTGTCAGGTAGGAAAGTGCCCAAACAGTGTCCACCAAGATCTAAAAGAAGAAAGATAATAATGATTAGTGCACCTTTTACATTTTAACAAAACTGAGCTTGTTAACATGAAATGTATCTGTGGCGAAATGCAGGTTAGAAGATCCGTTTACTTACACTGACGTCAGTGTGGTGGATCAGCACACAGAGAGCAGGCAGTATCTGAGGAGGAACAGCACCATTAGTGATCTGAAAATAACTTTATCTAAAAACTTCCAAACAAAGAAAAAAGGCCTCATCATCAGCAAAGCCTTATTTTCACATAAAGTGATATTTGTTAAAAGAAACAAACAAGACCTTCCTAGAAACTAACAATACTGAAACTTCTATACACCCCGTTACTGACACCATACCTCTTGGATCGTCTCCATCGGAGGTGGAGGATCCTTGTGGCGGCACAGGTTGACCATGACCCAGGTGACGTTGCGGAGGAAGGTGATGGGAATGGAGGGACTGATGAAGGACAGCAGGGGCTTGACCACTCCCAAACTGATCACATAATCTCTGCACTGTGGACCATCACCTGAACGCATAAAGGCAGAGGTGGAAGTCTTTTAAATATCCCAGTTCAACATCAAGGCTTGTAAGCTCGCCTTCTCCCTCACTAACTCAAAGAGTTCAGACAGTATTCATCAGTCTATCAGTGGTTACTCACCGATGATGTTTCCAAGGGCCCAGACCGCCTGTTCACACACATTCTGATGGGGAGAGTGAAGCAGCCTCAAGAAGAGCGGCACAGCATCTTCACAAAAGAAAAAAAAAAAAAATGGGGAAAGCCTTAAAAAAAAACCTCAAGATAAAAATCCTAAAGTACAAAAAGTTTAATTCAGGTCTGCAATAACCAACACTTAAGGTTCTCCGTACATGTTTAGGTTATAACAAATTTCTGCAAACTTTGTTTACAGGCTGGGTTCAATATCGTTTGGAAGTTCCACTAAAGGGAACCATTCCTTATTCTTGAGGCGTTTGCATCTTATGATTTTAAGAGAGTATAATTTTAAACGAGGCTGCATAAAACAGAGTATGCCACCATCTTCCTCAGACACACAAACACTGATTATCTCTAATGAGCAGCATGCAGTATTTTAATATCATTTTTTCCCAGTAGGTTTTTTAAACCCCCAGGAAAATGCAGCACAATAGGAAAAAAAAAAAAAACCTGCATAGTGCCATGTAATTAAAATATTTAACTCTCCATGTAGGAATTGAGCAGGTAAGTGTTTTAATCAATCTAAGCTCTAGGCTGAGGTTTAACAATCATCCAATCAAGAACTTATTGGACAAATTATTTAACATATCAGCTGCATTTTAAATTATTAAAACTCTTTTAAGTTTTTTCTAAGTTTTAAAGGCATGAATTTTCAAATTTTTTTTAAAAGAAATTCTTCAGTTTCATAAAACACAATTTGGACACGGTGCATTTAATCATGACAACCGGTGATAACATTCCGGTACATGAAAGCACACTTACGGTGGTGAACTTCACCTCCCTCTGACTGTGCAACAAAAACCAAAGTTTTAGCCTTGCATTAACTTAAATGACTTAAATGTAATAAATATCTGCATCAATATAATAAATAAGCCATTATTGGATGATATAAAAGATCTGTTTTTAACTTTCACTGCATTCATTCGGGGTCAGGTAAAACATTTAAAAGGCAATAAACTGGAAGGAAGAGTATTAAAAATAGACGAATAACAGATCAGGAACACGTCGACATGAAAGATTTGGCAGATAACAATAACGGATATCAGAGGAGTTCCAACAAAACTTTTTAATTTCTGATATGCGGATATTTCGGCTGTTGGAACTCGGCAGGGACAAATGATTAAAATATAATCTGCATTTAAAAATAGTAAAATGCCCTTAAATGCAGCCCTATTAAGAACACCAGACCCGGTGTTCCTAATAGTGCTCCTCGTGTTTCTTTGATGTTGACCTGCTAATTTACATGATACCATTGAACGCAACGTACGGACCTCAAGACACCGTGGCAGTGGCTTCTGATCCAACAAGCCCAAACAACTCTGTTTACAATTGTTAAACATGGCGCAGCACTGGTGAGCGGGATTCAGACAGATAAAAAAGCGAAACAATAAACCAAACTTATAACATTGGTGACATCATCAGCCCTAAACTTGTGTGATGGTTTCACCAGAAATGCAGCAGCAGGGATACAGAGGCCAAGCATCAGGCCAGTTAAGGGTCAGACCCAGCCTTTTATGCCAGTGGAAAGGCAGCCACATGCCGATTGTTAGCGGACTGGCCCATGTTTGATAAACCCGGGTTAACCCACTAATTTCAGTGGGAAAGCAGCTTAACACATTGATTTTTCTCACCCCGGCTCTTTAGGTGGTAGTATCATGTTTAAATAGGGTTTTGGTCTCACAAAAAAAGGAAAGAGAAACTTCCAGCTAGTATGCAGGGTTATATACGCTAGTAGACATAAGCCCTTTTCCAACCATAGATTACAGTAAAGTACAACAACTCCGGACAATTAAGCTTTCAAGGTCATAAAAACCTGGAGTGAAACATCTGGATGCTTGTGGTTTGTCCAAAGAATAATCGACCTAACATCGCCATGGCAATATTGGTTGATATTAACACAATTTAGATTTTTGGCAAAATTGCTGAGCCTTAGTAGCGACTCACCTGCAATGACATAAATCGTTCTAATACGGCATACGGGCAAATGGCCTTAGCAGCCGCATCAAGGCAGCTCGACAGACTGCATTTTTCCCCGAGCCACTAACCATCCCAGACAGTGTTCAGGAAGCTGCCTGTTGCGCAATATTGCATGGCCATACAAACAGGCTGTGATATAGTGAGGGTTGCACTCCTGCAGGTCGCACAGCCAACACACTATTGGCATATATATACCAGTCTGACATGTAAAAAATCTGTATTACTATATTGTCAGTAATAGAAAGAATCACAATTTGCGCTCATATTTTAAAATTAGGTTTCATATATCAATTATATTAGAAACAAGTGAATGCTAGGGCTGTATGGGGACATTCAGACAATAGTAAAAGGTGAAAACTATTGAATTTAGGAGGAAAATATTTTGTTTCAACTTCATTTTGGTTGCTGAAAGCTAGTCTGTCCCGGAGCAGGTTTTTCGTTAGGAGTACGTTACCATGGTGACTAGCCTTGCTAAGAATGAACCCGGCTTCGTGGTACCGAAAAGTCAGGGCTTGATCTGAGGGTGTGGTGCTAACCAAGTAATCCTGCTTTGTGGTAAAAGCCTCAAGTTCTTTTTATTACACAGAAAAACTAATACAGCAAACCCAAAAGATAAAAACAGGATTTACTTACTGGACTGAACCACAGCTTGGGTTTGCTCTGAGGTACCCGAAGCAATGTTGGTTAGAGCCCAGGCTGCTTCAAACTGGAGGGACGGGCTGCAAGAAAATGAAATCTACTGATTGATGAGGTACCACTAGCAGCAGAGATCAACAATATCAGCATGCTGATTAGTCATTCACCTTCTGGGGAAAAAAACTAGAGCACATTTACATAACAGCAACACTATTCTGATGTGAGTCACACAAAAACCTACCAGCTCATCTGCATCACATCGAACAGGATCAAGGAATGAGGCTAACTTTGACTATAATTATCAGCCATTTTTCTAAAATAAAAAATTAAGTATGAGTCATTGCAGCAAACAGATAGCAATGCAGCTTACTTATCATCCCTGTCCAGGCAGTGGACCAGTATAGGAAGGATCCCGGACTTAATCAGGTCATCTATGGGGGGATTACGGTCACTGGATAACAGCTTCCTATAAAGAAAACAGGAAAGGAAGCATTACAAGATGGTGAAACCAAACAGAAAAAAAAGAGCACACAGAGAAACAGATAAGGGATCCATCAGGGTCCAGATCGAGTTCAGATTTAACCCTCAGCTTTACAGGTTTAGCTGCTTTTTGATCCTTTTTTTAACCCTGGATACGCTACCATAGAATCTGCCTTTGATGGAGGTCTTATGAATGATGACAAATCCAAACAAATGATTAGGGATCCCAATCAGGCTTTTTTTTTTTCAGAATGAATTTATTTATTGTCATTTCAGTTTTATTTACAACTGGAAATAAAAAATATGCCAAGTATCAGAAAGACGGTATTTGAAATGATAAATGTGCAAAGAATACCTGCTCAGTTCACCCAATAAGTGTAAATATCAGCCAAAAAGATGGAGAATCAAAGACTAATAATGCCAGTTCCACATGGCAAGATCTTAAAATTGCCATCCTGTTGAAAATTCAGGGGACCCCTAGGGCTGGGTACCGAACTTCGGTTCTTTTATGGTACCGACCGAAATGCTTCGGTTCTACCGAGTATCAAAACATGCCTCGACTTTCGGTACCAAGTTTCGGTGATTGGCTGTAACACTTAACGTGATTGCGTCATCCAGGAAAAATACACAGGTGGTCACGCCTACAGCCAGGGTTCATGTGTATCTGTTGTGAACTGGTTGCGAGCGTCATGGAACCCCTTTAAAATGCCTCCCAGGTCAAAAGTGCGGCTTCACTTTATTAAGACTGATGCCAATAGTGCGCAATGCAATACATCGTGCACGGAAATAATTTAGGAGCAGAAAGTTGCTCGGATCCCATTCAACGGGCTTGTTTGTCAGACATGGTCATTTTTCTAAAGGAAAACTGCTAAGTAAAAAGGTCCTCACAATGTAACAGTGATTAGACACTGAAATTTTTTTTTTTATGTAAGAGGAAAAATGGAAATGGAAAAATCAGAGCTTAAAATAAAACTCAAGATTTGTACTTTTTTATGTTGTGTAATTTTCTTTTTCTTCGAATTGATATTATAAAACTGGTATCGAAAAAAGTATCGTTCAGGAACCGGTATCGAAGTGAAGGTATCGGTATTGGTACCGGAACCGAAAATTTTTGAACAATACCCAGCCCTAGGGACCCCACACATGAAGATATATACAATGGTAGATGTAACAGTACTACAGTGTGTGGTGTATAACCACACAGCAAGCATGACACACAACTGAAACCGATTTTACTCAGGAAAATTCTGATGCAAGACAGGAAATCTCACAAAACCTCAAGTGAACATAGCGTGATAAAGGAGCAATGGGAATATTTTGACTAATTTTAAGTATTAGAATAATGAAAAGTGTTTGGTAAAGGAAGGAACCACAAGAACTCTACTAGCTAATCTGATGAGTTCCTCTCAGGAAACTTTCTGATTGACCACATGTCACAATCACCAGGCTGTGTTGTTGTCAAAGTTGGAGGAAACATCGCACACTTAAGGCTGATTTATACTCAGAAATGAGGTCGTTTGGATGTGTGTCGCAGTGAATGCAAATGTGCCCCTGCCCCTGCCACCGACACTCTGCTGCAACTCTCCAAGATTGTAGTTGACTGCAGACAGTAGGCATCTGATTGGTCAAATCTACATCCGCTCTACACTATGCGCATTTCCTGTTTGGTACCTTACTGGCTTGTTTTGTTTGTATGACCGCCATTGTGGAAAACGACTCATTAAGTTAGACCAGCTAGAAGAGCGAGGTGCATGAGAACGCTGGGACCCTTTTTCCACCTGGATCCCCGCTCTTTGTCGCACTCATGTCCCTCCGTTGTCGCACAAATTTGCCCCCACTTCCTTACCGCCTCGGCTGAATCTTAACCCACAGCTAGTTCATGATTGTCCCTCTCTCGTTGTGCCGTGGAATAACATAGCACAGAACATGCTTTAAAATTGGACATAAATCAAAAATATCTGCGACAAGCTCACTGCAACACGCTGCTGCGGGAGTATAAAAAGCCCTTAACAGGCCCAGATGACCCAACATGCTGAAGAAAAACTCCATAAAACAGTTTGCAAAAATTTCCCTGTTTTGTTCAATATCTCACAGCAGCTTTAGTGACTGGTCTCAGTTAAAATAAGCTTTAAATCTATCAGATTACATCTCAAAAACAATGAAAAGGAGAAAAAAACGCCCTGCACTGCAGTTCTTAACAGAAATTTGGGATCAAACATCCATGGCAGCAGTTCAAACTCTGGTTTGAACTAATAGCATCAAATCAGGAACAGCATAACTATGATGTCAGTAATTAAAATTATGAAAGAAGAAATGTGTAAAATATGAAAAAATAAATAAATAAATCAAAAGGATTGGGAATTCTGGCAGCTCTCAGCTTACTTCTCCTTTCCCAGCATCCATTAAACAGATGAGAGCGACTGCTGGTTGAGGAAAAAAAATTCAGCCCTCAAAATTGAAACACTGGGAAGCTATTTAACTTAAGTCAATCAGCTTGAATGAGAAAACCCGCTGAAACAAAGTGCTGGTGTCCAAGAGCAGAATCAGCAGCCAGAAGGGATTCATGATTGAAACCAGGCAAATACTTGGCATTGCAAAACAAAAACCCAGCAGGCTGCAAATTCAGTCAAAGGACTAATTTAAAAAAAAAAACGCTAATGTGCAACATAACAGATATACTCACACCTTGACTAAAGCATCACTTGAATATACATTAAAATATAAATCCCTAAATAATTTCACGCTTTGTATTTCTGCGATGCACATTATTGCTGTAACCACACCAATATAACCTTACCTGGCAGCCTGAACAGCACTCAGCTGGATGCCCTGGTTATCACTGGTGGCATTCTGCAAGTCAAATATAGCAAAGTTATGGACTTTACTAAATTTAATAACTGCAGACTCCCATCCATCCCTTCTGAAGAGTATTTGTCAAAGAGCTTAAAAGGCACAACCCAAAAAAGTGTAAGAATAAAGAAATTGACTTACTTGTACTATGGTCTCGAGAGACGTGTTTTGCTACAAAAGAAAATTCCAGAGATTAGCTTCAAAATATAAAAAAGTAAACAACACAATCACTAAAATGACGAGATGAAGCTTAAATGAACCATTATCTGAATGTTTAATGATGCACTTCCAGACAAACAAGCTGCAAACAAATAGTCTGTTGCCTCTTTGCATTTTATGACCTAAGGTTGAGTACAGACAGCAGATGATGGACCAGCCCAGGAGGAGGAAGCAGCAATTTTTATTTTTAAACAGAGCTGATTAAACCAATTACCTGAGGCATTATAAAATTCAATGAAATAGATGGGTAACAAGATTATTGACAGTTTGCCTCAAATGTTGCTTCCTACTCAATTTGCATGGAGTCCACTGTAATGGCCGGTTTAATCACCTGGCCGTGAACATGATTTTTTGATGGGTTAACATCCATCTGACAGGGTTGTTCCTCCTTTTCATACCAATTTGTTGCCATTTTTTGGACAATGTCAATAAATTTCCCTAGGTGGTTATGCATTTGACACATTTAAAGAGGCCTCAGTCCTCATACAAAAAGGTCAAAATACTAATCTCAAGTTTTGTTTAATTTCTATTGTGGAATTTCCGAGCTGTTTGAAAGCAAAACTAAGAAAAGTCTTAAAAAGCAAAGAGGAAAAAAGACCCTGCATCAGTCTGACACAAATGTACAGCCTGGCTTCCTTGTGACTCTCAAACAAACAGAACTCTAATATAAAAACTGTTTGCTGATAAATTAAAATAGAAGTTTTGGGGAAAAAGATCATTAAGATTAAAAAGCACAGATTAGAGGCTGTCTCTTCTTAAAATATTGAAAGGATCATCTATAAATGAAAACAAACATGTCAGTCAGAAAGGATAACCCAGCAGCTTTTCCATGGCAACTCTACAACCTTCACCAAGTCTAACCAGCACCATTTAGCTGATCTACTGCTAAAAGCAGCCAATTCTGAGGCAGCCTTCCGAACCGTAAAGTAGTTCAAGTGATTGAATCGAAACAGCTGAGTGGACATTTTAATCTGGCAACGCCACCAAACCCAGAGACCTTTATCAAAGGTGGGAGTATTGATTGAGTCTTTTCTTTCTCTGACATTTTTAGTAGATAACAGACTGCTCTGATATTTGCCGCATGTTCTCAAAGACAGCCGCGGAGGAGTTGAGTGCAGGACCAAGATTATACAGCTAATTATTCAAAACTACAGATCAAATATCTCATTCTGCTAACTAAACAAACCATTGTTATGCAGCAGTAATGCTTGTGCCATAAATATTATAGTCTACAAAATACCAGAGCAATGCTTTCATTTGTAATTAAGGTTCCAGACACTACTGTTGCAAAAACAACTTTATATTTTGTGCAGTTTCTCTACAAATTAATATCTGTTGGTGAAAATAGCCTAAAACTTAGAAGACAAACAAGGTGAAAACATAGAAAAACAACAAAAACCTACAGATCTGAAATCTCCGTCAACATCGGAGTCCTCGCAGATGTCTTCATGGGGCACATTTCTCCTCTTAAGAAGGTGTTCGTCTCTTTTGTGCTGCGGCATGGAAAGCAGGGTTATTACTTCATAGTGCATTATATACAGACTAGCTGGGTAGTTATAATTTAAGCAAAATGACTGAGTAATTACCTTTCTGAGTTCCACCACTACTTCAGTCCTTTGCCGCCTCATGGTCTGTAAGAAAACACATAAATTAAACACATTAATCCCCCCAAAAATGTAAGTAAATCAGATTTAAAAAAACACTGCTTATACCTTAAAGGTAAAGCTTGTAATTGGTTAATGCACATGATAACCACAGTTTATGATAGTCTGACCTAATGCTACTCAGCTTTAGTTAAAACAGATTCTGAAGACACCTTAATTTTAAGAATGTCTAATAATTATCCAGACATGTAATAAAGTTAGATTCCCAGTGCCACTCCTTCGAATTTGGAAGCTTAAACTCAAACTGAAATGGAAATTTTTAAAATGGAAATTTACTTTCATCAGAAAAATCTTCAACTATAAACTAAGCAAAAGTAAAATATGGTAAAGATAAATCCTATGGAATAATTTGAGGCTAATAATTTCAATTTTTGAACTGAAAGATGGAAGGAATAATTTGAGAAAGATGTTTTTTGGTTTGTTTTTTTTTAGTCAGGAATGGTTGACACAAACATATCCTGAATTTACATGATCTGGACTGCGTTCACACCAAAGACAACAGAGAAAGGAGAAAAAAATATCTGTTAACAATTAACAGATGTCAATTGATAACATCTACACATTCTGACTTGAACACAAGGATGTGAACATGAGTCGGTTCCCATGAAAAAGGTCCAATGGTGACACTCCAATGCTGTTCTAATGCTTAAAAGTTGTCTAGAGAAGCCTGAGAGGTTTTTCTAAATATACGGCGCATAAAGACTCACAAGTTACAATATTTTGGTTAATTTGTTTCAAAATGCTAGATTTATTACAATATGAAATAAAGCTTTTGGAATTTGGATTAAACCAATATTAACCGAATATTAAGTGTCAAAGAAAATATGTGTATCTAATAAGAACAACAAAAAACCAAAAAGGATGTGTGTTTTTTTTTCTATTAAGGCACTTTTCATTATAGCATCTCTGGTCATCTGCATTGTTTGCTCTGGTGTCTTATCTTCCTTTGGACTCATTTTTTTTCTTCGAAATTTGCTCAGGCCAGTTGGCTGATAATTCAAGCTCAGTAACACCAAGGTCAGTAAATCAGCCTTTGGTGCCTCTAGCAGCATGTCCAGGCATCAAGGCTGGCAAGAGAATTAAGTCAGCGTCTCCAAAAAGGTTGTTGGCAGAAAGAAGCAGTGTTTGCTTTAAAATGTCCTGGTAGACTTTGTAAGAACACAGCAGACTAACCCCAACAGATGACCTGGCACCACAAAGCCTCACTGAGTGCAGAAACGTCACTCTGAACTTCTAGTAACGTAGATTCTGTCCTTCTCCACTCTTCCTGCGATTACCAACTGCAGTGCAAACTTTACTTTAACCCGAGAAGATGACTTGGGATTACTGAGCAAATTTTTTGTTCCTTTACTTCTCCGTCCAGGTAAGATGCTTCTGATGTCGTCTTCTGTTCTGCATACGATTCATCTTTGAGCAAACGCTCTTATTCACGAATTTCAGCCTCAATCCACTGCCTGCGATCTCCAATGAACTTCTGAATGGACTTTTTCCCCTTAACAATCCCCTCTTCCACACTTTTTCCCTTCCTTCAATGATTGTGTATTTATTATTATTATTTTTTTCTTTCTGTGACACTGAATTTTGAGCTTTCATTTAAAAAAAGGCTTGAAATATTTCTCTCAATATGTAATTAATGGATATAAGCTTTATTCCGTAAAAATTCAAAAAATATCCACTGGACTTGGTTTTCAAGATTTGAAGACGTTTCGCCACCTCTCCAGGAAGCTTTCTCAATTCTGGAGAGGTGGCGAAACGTCTTCAAATCTTGAAAACCAAGTCCAGTGGATATTTTTTGAATTTTTACGGAATGACTATGACCTGGATGACTGAGAACCTTCATCAGCATATAAGCTTTATGTTTCCTTTTGTAAATAGCACAAAAATAATTAACTTTTCACAATGCTAAAATTAGTTTTACAAAGGGAAACATACCCTTTTCCGCCTGTTGCTATGGATTGCCATTTAGCTGGCTAAAAGAGGGACATTTAGTGTTCTAAAGCTTACATTAAGGACAGATATGTCTTCTTAATTTTTTATTATTATGGGTAAGTATCAGATTAGTGAGAAAATTACTTTTATTTCATTTTTAATTCATGGGTATACATAACAGAATTCAATTTATTAGTTTTTTATCAGTCTAGTTTTAAGTTTGAGAATCACTTTCCATCAATTCTTCCCATTTAAACATTTCTTGTGATCCAAAGATTTGAATTTATGGCTGAATCTTGAGGAGATGGGGGTAATCATAAGGTCTAAAGCTGTGTTTGTATTTGCAGGAGCTTTTCCAATTCGATAGCATCAGTGTTATGAGAGCAATCATATCGACAACATTAGCAGCAAGGAAGTTACATCAGTTATGTATCCAGTTCAGCCATGTGCTTAGACTATGACGCCCTTAACATACAATTAATGACATCTAAATGAGCAAAAGTGGTTTTGGTTTCTGAACTGTTGCTTGTTAAGAGCTAAAGGGTGTGTTCTAAAACTTCCAGGTATCTCTAGTTGACAACACTGAACGGCGAAATGAACCTCCTAGCTTCGTGTTACGAACAGATAGCACTTGTCAAACAGGATGTATGAATAAATGGTAACCGTACACAACACAAACAACCCCATCCAGCCAGATATCGATAGCGACCGGCCTCCATGAGACTCTGGCATACCGAGCTGACTGCAAATCACCTGGAAATGTATCGATCCGACGTAAGCTAGCATGTATAGCTTTAATCTGTCAATTATGGATTCAGACCAAAACGTAGGCGTTATGGTTTTAGACACACGCCATTTAAACGCGTAGTCAAAATGTAATCATTTATATCAACTTTACGGAAAGGCAACGGTAGAGCTAAGAAGCTAGCTGGTTTCCGCCATTGTTTTTGATTATCGAGACGGGGGATGGGTGGAACTGCAGCTAGCATGGTGCTAAGCGGGTTAGCCTGCTGCAGTGCTAAAATGTCGGTCATCAAACTGACACGCTGATATCGCGACTGTGGAAATGCTGCCTTTCTAGCAGTATAAACATTTAAGTTTACCGTTTAAACTTTTAAAGGAATAGTTCATATTTGACACCGAGCTAAAAGGAGGGGGAATGATATGCTTCAGTTGAGCTAGCATGCCCCCCTCCTTCCTCACGGAGGGCCTAGCTCACCCAGCGGAGGTTTTTCTGACATGTTTCACTAGCAGCGCGGTCTGCTGGTAAAACGAAACCAACAACTCAAAACGTGGAGACGTCTTGAACCAGATCAGGACCCTTAAACGGTTCATATGTTAAAGTCCTGACCGGTTTCACTCCACGGAGATCCCCGAGGAGTGGGAATTAGAAACGACGTCACAGCGGAGCCGAGAGGCAAACGCTGGCCGTGAGCGGAGCGCTAGCAACGGTGGTGGCTGGCAGCGGAGACTCCCCTCTGCACAACTTTTACCTCCAAATCTCTGCCCTTATTCTTGAAATTCTTCAGTCGCTGGTTGTCCAGTTTCTCGTTGTCAGCCATGTTAGCGGTTCTGGGTAATGTTGGATACAGTTATGCTGTTGAATTTAGCTGATGAGCTACCCCCCTTTTTCTGGTTCCCTTTTCGTAGCCTTTCGTTAGCAGACTATTTTTTGCTGCTGTTTCCGCGGTGCATGCTGGGAATGCCGGTGGAGGAGGGCGCTCAGGGCAGCCTGGCTCTGGCGTAAAGGAAGGGTGGGGAAACCCCCCTCACTCTCATTGGTTTCTCCGCTCACGTCTGAGTGCTGGGAACACCTCACTCTGTCAGGCAGAGGCCATGCGAAAGTCAGAATTCTGAGATTAAAGTCGGAATTCTCAGAATAAAGTCCAAATTCTCAGAATAAAGTCAGAATTCTGACTTTTTTTCTCATATTGTACTGAAATAAAATTTAAAAATCAATGAACTTTTTTTTCGGTGGCTCTAATCCTCTTCTGTTAAAATAATAACATGGGTGCACATAAATTAAAAAGAAATGCATAGAATATATATGTGATGATTCAGTTAAAAAAGTTAAACTAGAGTTTATTCCAGTTAATTTCAATGCTAATGACCTACAGTCAATAAAAACAAAGGTTAATGAGTCTTTTTTATGATAAAAAAATCTGCAAAATGAATCCTGAAGTGACTGGTGTCAAAGTCATTCTGCTGTTAACAGAGTGCTTTATCCACGTTTATTTATTGAAGGTTTGGTGAAAGGAAAAAGTCCATGTGCAACAGGACAGTTGAAAAATACAATCCGCTCAAGTGCCAGGAGAAGATAGCACACCCTGGTTGGAGTTAGTGCTACAAGACCCACAGACTTATCCAGGATGTAAATGTCAGGTTACTTGTGAAAAGTATCTAATTTGAGCCTGCGGAGAAAAATTACTTGATTTGAGCAAAGCGTTTTTTTTTACAATGACAGTAAATTTTATTTGAAAAGTGCTGCTTTTTAGCAGCAAGAACTAAAAGGCCAATTCTTTCCAAGCTGTTTGAGCTCCAGTATGAGTTTTCCAGAATCAGTGTCTTAAGATTGCATACCACCCCATCAAAAAGAGAGGTTGATCTGTTATTGGGGTTAATTTTAGGGGTAAAGTGTTGCATAGACAAAAAAAAAATAAAAAATAAAAAATCCTACTTTTTAAGAAAGAGTCACACTTTTGGAGAAATTGTTTTTTTTTCATATATTTTTTAAAATATATTGAGATATTTATATGACTTTTGCTGATTGAACTTTCCTAATTCAATGACAATATAAATCTTTATATAGTCCTTATCTAAAACAAAGTTAAAAACAAAGCTTTTTACCTGAAAGCAAATGTAAGAACTGACATAAATCCTTCTTTGGATGTAAAATCAAACCAACACAAAGAGAAGAATACTTAACCAGATTTGTATTCTAATGTTAAGAGTTAAGGATGCAAACGTTCAGCATCTAACAATCATCTTTACATGCACTATTCACTGTAGTTTTAGTTGGTGATCTTTAAAAGTACAGCTTGTATCAGTGAGAAAATAACAGAAAATGTTAATATTTTGATAATTAAATGTAAAGATAGATTTCTCCATATGAATCAAATAGTCCAACATTTCTCACAGAAACATTTTGGTTATATTCCCCAGATGAAGACAATAAATCTGCAGCACAATGACATGTAGGTCCTTGCAGATTAACTCTGAAGGTTATGGTTACATCATTATTCAGCCCTACAGATGCCTTGTTTAGATGATTTGCAGATAAGAGGGACAGAAGAGCAACACTGAAACTTAAAAAAAAAATCATAAATCAGGGTGAATAGACCCCATCAGCTGTCGAAGAGAATTGCTTGTTTAACTGATGTGAAACTAAAGCCTTTGGACCTCATCTTTGCCCTAATGTCCTCTTGAGTCTGTCTGAGAGGAGTTTTCATCAGATAGACCATTCTTCTAAAGCCTTCTTGAAGACCCATTCCTGTAGTGGCTGAGCAGGGCTGGATGAACCACGCCCTGCCTTCACAGACTCTCCTCAAGTCCAGTTTCTGGCAGAGTCTCTCTGGGTTTAGAGCACCTGGAAGGTCCTGTTTGTTGGCCAGAATCACCAGAGGAACTCCTTTCAGACTGTGGTATTTCAAGATCTAAAGTATAAAGACAGGGAATTAGAACAAAAAAATATTGTTATTTAAAATACAAAATAAACCTATGCACATATGGGGCACGAATTAGTTTCTGTAGTTTAATGGTGTGATATTTTTAATTACAGCAATACTTTTTCCATGGTCGTTTCATTTCTTGCTGTTCTAATCTCAGCAACCTTTTCCCCAGCACTTTTGTAATATTTTTACTTTTAATAATTAATTTCACCAGTATCCAACTCGTAGTAGTTATCTTATCAGGCCTCCTTACTCTCGTACAACTCAAACACAGTTTAGTGTATTATACAGAGGATCAAGGATATAGAACAGTCTTCCCACATCACTGACAGATCTTTCTAAAGAACAATTTAAACGGAGAGTAAAATTGCTGCTACTAAGTTGTCTGAATTTTCCATAAGGATTTGTGGTCTAAATTATATTTTAATTTGTTTTAAACAAAGATTTTTTTTTTATTCTCTTTTTATGTTTTTGTTTTGAAAATAAAATAAATAAAAATAAAAACCTCTCACCAATGCAGTTGATGAGACCGAATTTCCAACATTCAGTATTTTAACCCTACACTATGCTCAAAACAGAGGTGATATAAATTCTTGTTTGTTTGGGTTTATTTGTAATCATTCAAATAATTAGTCAATAGAAATCAGTTTCATTTATCTAAACATATTGGTAACATTGATTACTAGCTCTTAGAATTTTTTTCTTACATTTTCTCATTTCACTTTAATTGTAATTGTAATCCTGAAAAGATCTCAATCCTGAAAAACTTAGAAAACCTCCGAATGAAAAAGTTTTAATTCTTGACAGACATAGCTCAATGCATTAATATAAAAATCCCTCCTCTAGACTGATTTTTATTTCATTGTAGTATAGAGTGTTAGAAACATTTACGGACATTACTATAGTTCAACCTTTGGTTCACTGGCACATATTTTATTAATAGATTTTTATGTTATAAAACCAAGTTTTTTATTTTAAGTATGATAGTTAAAAACTGTTGCATAAACAAAAAATTAAAGGTTGAGAAAACTGAAACAGCATTTATAATCTGTTCATAATCTAAATTTATTTATAATTTTAATGGAAAATTATTAAATCCCCAATGAATTAAGTCATATTTTAAGCTCTTCTGAAAAAAAGGGAGCAAATAAATAATGACAGGTTGCGTTACCCGATAGAGCTCCTTTCGGGCCTCGTCCAGCCGCTTCTCATCCCCGCTATCAACCACAAAAAGCAGTCCAGCTGTGTCCAAGAAGTGGTGCTTCCAGTGGGGCCTCATCCTTCTCTGGCCCCCGACGTCCCACACCGTCAGTCCAGGGCTCCTCCTGTCTGTCTCCAGCATCTCCACGTTGAAGCCCACAGTGGGAACGGTGACAACGTTCTCGTTGTACTTGAGCTTGTAGAGCAGGGTGGTCTTCCCTGAGCCATCCAGACCCAACATAAGGATCTGCACTTGTTTCTTTAGCTTGGATCCATGCATACCCATGTCTGGAGAGTGTATTTATATGTAGGCTATGCTGTCTGCACTCTGAGTCTGCACTTGGTGGTGTGTCTGGAGTCTTATGAGGACTAAGTGATCCCTCCCCTCTACAGAGATACAACTACGTTGATTTCGGTACAGCTATTTATATCGTACATGACAATGCAGCTAAGAGGGAGGGCATGCAGGCATTTAACCAGCGCAGTCACTGCAGCCCCACTGCACCTGTCCCAGGTCATCAAGCACATTACCAGCCAGGAGGTCTGTACTGCTTAGTGGCTGGAGGTTCAACTTATTGACATCATAGTTATATTTTAGTTGCACTGGCTAAGAGATAAATCCAGTTCAAGTAGATCTACGAATGCTGGCCTTATTTTTTATTTTTTTATTGTTTTTGTATGGAGAACATTTTAAAAGAAAATAATGAATGCATAGTTAAACCCATCTGTATATATGCTATTGTACATAACTGTAAAAAACATTTTTATAGTAATATCTACCTGTACATTATATTTGGTACATATCCAGCTGTAAATTTAGTTCATAACACTAGTGATTTATATATTATATTCATCTATAAGTAAGATTCTGTTTATAATGGTATCCATCTCTATACTTATTCAGTAGAAACCCATGTCCTGCATTTATAGAACCATTATTTATCCTGCACTTGCTGCTATTGCACTTCTGGTTAGACCTAAACTGCATTTCGTTGCCTTGTACCTGTGCAATGATGATAAAGTTGAATCTAATCTAATCTAATATATAGATTTCAGTTCCTGCAATATGAATTAATAGGAAAACACATTTGGAAAAAGTCCTTGTTAGGAAATGATTGTGAAAACAGACCCTTAAATACATACAGGTTTTTCTTTTAAATTCAGTTTCTTTCACATTCATTCTCTTTTAAAACCTTTTATATTATGCCACATTAAAACCACAAATGTAAATATATTTTTGTAAAATTTAATTTGACAATTACTTAGAAATGCTTAGTTGGGAATCGGATGGATATTTTTAAAAATAAGTATATAAAAAAATCTATTAAGTATTTTCTTCTCTCAACTGATACATTTTCCAGGATGATGTTTGAACAAGACCTCATGTGATGTTCAAAGTTTATAACACTGATTTGTAAACTGACTCCCCTTTATTTTCCACTAATCTCTAATCTCTCTGCTATATGATTAAAACCGTTATTGAAATTAAGTTACTGTCAAAAAGGAAACAAGGTCTCAACTTCATTTGCAACACTTTATCATTTAGCCCGTTCTTTCAATTTTAAATAGATTGAGTGATTTTCTTTAATTTAAAATACTAAATTGCCAGCCTTTTATTAGCAGCTGTATTATAATTGTTAAACAGAAAATAATAGGTGTAATGCTTTATACTTTAGTTAAAACATACGATAAAGAGGGAAACACAAAACAAAAGTTTATTTATAATTTCCTTATGACTTTATTAGAGCTCCCTTTCCCCTGTCCAGGATTAAATGTACATTACATTTAATAGGTTTTTTTTGGGGGGTGATGATTTGTAACATTTTCCAAAG